TGGTGGGTTTCTTCCATCATGTACAAGTTATTGCGTGCACGATAGATACATTTCATATACGCAGTTTCTATATCTTGGAAGAAACAGAACGAGGTCTTGAAGTCATTTTGAATCCCCGCAGGAGCCAACGGTTAATTTCCCTCATTGACCTCTCTTTGTTTTGATTTCCCTACGGCAAGATCCAGTTCCTACTTGTGTTTACGATGAACGATTACACTTCAGTTTAATGTACCTAATATTTAGTATTATATGTTGCACGTGGCCCTCCTTTATATTGCCGGATTCTTGGCTGAAATGGATAAACAGCCATACTAACTCACTCACTCACTACATTTGTATCTACATCAAGGACTGTGCTGTGATGTGTATATACACTAAACGCCAAAAAAAGAAACGTTACCCTCCTTCCTTAATGACGGAGGTACCTATCTTCAGCTGGCGTTGTGATGCGTGGACGTCCACTTCTTGGTCTGTCTACGGTGACCCCAGTCTGTCTGAAGCCCTGAATAAGTCTTATAACCGTGATACGGTGGCATCCGAGGGCGTTGGCAACAGCATTGTATGTCGACCCCATCTGCACCATCCCAATGGCTCTTTCTCTCTCTTCAGCTGTTAATCGTGGCATATTTCTCGTACTTGTGTATCATATCATCTTTTCTAGGCTCTCTTCATACCCTATAGAATCATTCTACATGTGAAATGGATGCAAATACTGCTTGAATATTGCTGCGTTTTGGCGATTGATATTGCTATGTGTAAACAGAAAATGGAAAAATGTTACTTTGCAAGCAAAAATGTTAACAAAGATCATTGTAGATGTTCCTAAACATTTTTCACAATATCAAAGACACGTTTTACTTGTTTTCACTAATGCAAATCAGCAGAAAATGTTTTAAAAGACTGAAATCATAGGAATGATTATTTTACAATTTTACACACTCTACAACAGTTGTTTCTTGTTTTAATAGTTGAAAAATGGTGACTTTAAATGGTTTATCTTTGTCCCAAAGCAGAATTTTATTTCAACCTTTCTTTTGGACATCTAAATCACTGTTATTGGTTTATTTCGGCATGGACGAAAATAGGACAATTTAACTCTTCTGAAAAAGATGCATTTCACCTAAATATGAATGCATTTGAGAATTTTTTTCGTGATTTGCATAAAGCTGTGTTGTTAAGCTTTCTTGTAAACTAATGCCTTCTAACATATCTTTGATAGTTTTTAAGTAATTCATAAAGGTAGGAGGGTAACGTTTCTTTTGCGTTTAGTGCTTGACATTATATATGTAGCGGTTAGAGCACGCCGATATAGTGCCTAATCATTAAATGGTCTGTTCAGGGTCCGAGGCTAACAAGTTTAACGACTAGAAACAAGGGCCAGACTGCTCTAACCTATTTAAACCATGGCCAGAGCACCTAAATGTGTGAACTACATTGTTTTGACTACCTTATTATTAAAGTTATGTAGAGCTCAATCAGCAACTGTGAGAACACTATTTGAGTGGTGCCTGCTTGATGCACGTGAAACGTGCTTCCTGAGCCCTTCGCACATGTAAATGCCTCCTTAGGTCATTTCGAGCAGGTCCTTTTGGTGGACCTGTCATGAGCCAACACAGGCCTAGGTAACAGTAATCTGCTTCCGCGAAAGGTGAGCTACCAGAATGACATACGATGTATAAAATAACAACTATACAGTTTCGTCACTGCGAAGTAGTATGTGACAATTTCTGTTAGTTAACGGGCGGTCAAACAAAAATGAACCATTAATAAGAAATGTTTTTATTCCTTGGACAATGATTTGGTGGTACATTTGCTGAACCATGCAATATATACTACCCATCAAAAGTTTAGACTCACTGAAAGCACTCACTATATGTTATGTATATGTATGTGGTTACATCGAAGATGAATTTCTCCACCAACTTGGGGGGAACCAACTGAAAACCTTATGCAGATGAATTGCACAAGGATGATGCTTCAAATTGCGAAAGGCATGAGCAAATGTCGTGCATGTGAACAGATTCGTTTTGGTGTAAAGTTTTGTTAAGAATTCGCCAATTTTCACAGATTTTAATCATTTACTGAACTCATGACAATAATCTTTTCAATGTTACGAATATGTTTTACAATACACCAGTTCATAACTAAACAGTACCTTTAAACAGTATGGAATATTTTGCAAAAAGCTAGTTTAGAACAGTGGACAAGTAAGTGCTTACATTTACACTAGTGAGTCTAAACTTTTGATGGGTAGTATATATGTTTGTATTATGTTATGTAAGTTCTGAAACAACTACAAAATAAAATAGGCATGTCAGGGTTTAGAGGTATGTCAAAGGATATACTTGGGTAAGGTAGATTTTTTTACATACTTTACCTACCTGCTCTTTATAGGGGAATATTTTGATTCTCTCTAACCGCGAATTAGGGCGTATGTGAATAATAGCCCGTGTTTGGGATACCGAGGGTATAGTATTGATAAGAACCAGATGGCCCTCAATTTGCACCTCATTTGTCGACAAGAATAAACCGTCCCAACCAACGGTGACTTGGTATTGTATTCACTCATATTTGCGTCCAAGATTCTTTTTTTCGTGCAAGCAAAATGCAAGAACATGACATAAGTAAAACAAAATGATACTAATAACCTTGGAACTGTGATACTGAGGAGGTGGTTATCCAGAAGTGTATCAGCGCTAGAGATCCAAGTTAAAACACATGTGTATTTACATTCAAACGTGAAGGATGGAGTGGCATGGGTGGATGTCCTGAAAACTGGGTGCGGCTCCTTCATTAGTGGTTAACGCTAACCTTATTGGTGCCAATCTCTACAGTTCGGTGCGGTAACCTAGGGGTTATAACGTTCGCTTCACGTGAAATGCCTGAACCCTATTTCTGGTGTCCATATATTGCTGAAATATTGCTAAAAACAGCGTAAAACCTTACTCGCTCACTATAATCCCTACATGGGGGACTCGTGAAGAACCGGGTTGGACATGGTTTTTAGGAACCCATGCTTGTCGTAAGAGGCAACGGGAGGTCAGGTTCGCTGATTTGGTTAACACATGTCATTGTATCCCAATTGCGTAGATCGATGCTCATACTGTTGATCACTAGATTATCCGGTCCATAATCGATTATGTACAGACCGCCGTCATATAACTGGAATATTGCGGCGTTAAACTGCAAACCAACCAACCAACTACGTAGGGCAATGTGTGAAGATTACTTCTGGTGGCTACATGAATATTGCTTTAATTGACATCAAACAATACTCATTTACTCAGTGGCAGAAGAACTGTTGTATCTAAAACAATCCACACGCCCACACCCCACGTCCAGCCCTTTCGTCTGAAGCAGTGACAGACAGTCAGTGATGAGATGTTCATTATGTCTCGGATCCCTGTGATCATCTCCCTCGGTGAGCACAGCGTATCCCATGGTGAACTGATCTCCCACACATCAATCACAATCACTGACACATGCGAACACTGCAAAAGACCGTACGCGTAAGTGAGTTAGCTTGTAGACGTTGAGTGACAGAGTAAGCTTAAAGCAATAGAGCGATAAACGTTCTGTCAAACTCAGACCTGTATCAAATATATATTAAGTATCCGTTGCAGCTAATGATAGGGCTCAACCGTGTGAGTTAAATACTCGTTCAATATCTTATGAAATAGCAGATCAAACATCGGTCGGTTGGCAGAACCAAAACATTTGATTTAGGACTCTCAAAGAGTACTTCGTCATCTGTTAGCCTATATTATAGCATACACATCTATGCAGCGGTTAATAAATTACCCTTATTATACACACGCGCCGTTTCAGTTTCAAAGAAGGCATCATTTAGTACAAAACATCCAAAACCTAAACTTATAGCTTCTTTAACTGGCATTTAGAGGTATCATGAACAAGGTATATAAATACACTGATATACAATTTCTTAAATACAATGAATGCAGGTACTAAGATGTTTGATAACGGTGTTAGCATCTGAACCGAAACCGAATTGTAAGAAACGATTGTATATTCATAGCCCTTTGATATGAAAACGTATGTATCCCATAACCTTTGAAATGTAAATGTCAAGACCAGAGAATAAACAGTCTCGAATATGCGCCGACACAGATTCCATTTGGCGTATATAGAGAATACTACACGAGGTCTCATTACATACGAATTATACGAAACGAGTGTCCTTCCTGTGATATCATAGGAAGGTCAAGACTTTCGTATAATTCGTATGTAATGAGACCGATTGTGGTATTTTATTTATTACCCACGTCTTACATGCATGTAAGGATGAAGCATTTCTTATGGGAGTAGGAAGACTGTTCCACAGGGTTGGTGCTGCAAATTTGAATGACCTATGGCCAAAGTGTTTGAGATGAACTTGGGGAACTGAGAGAAGATCTTGATTCTGGGAGCGGAGAGAACGGGCAGGCATATATGTTGACAACATGTCAGAGAGGTATGGAGAAGCTAGGCCGTGTCTGCAGCGGAAAACAAGAGTGAGGATCTTGAAATGAATTCTGGCTTCAACCGGCAGCCAATGCAGACTCTGGAGGATTGGGGTTATGTGAGTCCATTTGGATGTTTTAGTGACAACTCTGGCGGCAGCATTTTGAAGTTTTTGAAGTCTGAAGGGAAGATCATTGGAGATTCCAAACAGTAGGCTATTGCAATAGTCAATCCTGGAGAGAACAAGTGACTGAGTGAGAACAGACGTCTGTGGTTACAAGATGGCGGATGTTACCAATAGAGTGGAGATGGAAGTAGCTTACTCTACAGAGATGGTTCACATGTTGCTCCATGTTGAGACAAGGATCAAGATAAACACCTAGGTTTTTTACACTGGATGAGAGTGGGATATCTGAGTTGGTTACTGTGATGTCCGTAGAGTCTATCCTTTTCAGACGTTGCGATGTGCCAATCAGCATAGCCTCAGTCTTATCATCATTGAGCTTCAGCTCATTTGTCATCATCCATGAACTAATTGCCTTCGTGCACTGACTCACTCTTGATCTGGCTATTTGTACATCATCTGGTTTGAAGGAATCCATCAATTGGAGGTCGTCTGCAAATGCGTGGTGATTCACATCAAAGTTATCAATGTGTATAACACAAAGAGAAGCGGCCCAAGGACTGAGCCCTGTGGTACACCACACTCTAGGATCGTTGACTCAGACATGCTTTCAGAGACAAGAACTGACTGATTCCTAGTACTCAGATAAGAATGGAACCAGGCCAATGCATCCCCTTGTATGTTATAGTCGCCATGAAGACGGCTGAGGAGCTGCTGATGGTTTACCGTGTCGAACGCCGCTGAGAGATCAAGCAAGAGGAGAAGTGACACATTACCCAAGTCCGCATGGCATCTCAGGATTTGAAGTAAGGCGGTCTCATTACTGTGCCTAGGACGATAGGCTGATTGGAATCTATTAAGAAAAATCATTTGAAGAGAGATAGGATCTGAGTCTGACATCAACTGGACGTTCAAGGATCTTGGAGAGGAAAGAAAGGTTGGAGACAGGTCTATATTTCTTGAGAGTATTGATACCCAAATTGTCTTTCTTAAGTAATGGCTTTACCACAGCCTGCTTGAACATCTCTGGAAAGACACCATTAACTAAGCTCAAGTTGATCAGTTTCGTGATAACTGGCAAAAGAGTCTCCAAAAAGTCATCAAGGAGACGAGTTGGCATTGGATCGAGAGGACACAATGTCTTTTTTGACCGTTTGATGAGTGCAGCTATCTCACCCTCAGTGAAAGAATCAAAGCTGTCAAGGCAGATCCTATCATCGGGCGGACATGTTGGAGGATTCTGTGTGTCAAGAAATGTTTGGTCAAAGCTTTTCCTGATATTTTCAATTTTACTTGAGAAGTAGGCTGAAAAATTGTCTGCAAGATCCTTGTCACTAGTGGACGATGGTAATAGGGTATCGTTCTTCTTGCCAAGTAGAGATCCCATGAATTTGTGATAGAAGTAAGGATTCTTCAAATTGTCAGAGGGTTTCTTAGTACAGTAACTAGATCCCTCCTCTAAGAGCCCTAGCACAAGAGTTCCGCTCAGACTTATACAACTGACGGTGAATTTCAAAGCGACTCTTCCGTCATTTCCTCTCTGCAGCTCTGCGTTTCCGCTTGGCTAAGAGAACCTGCTCATTGTACCAAGGAGTCCCTGATCTGACAATGATTTCCTTCGGAGCTGATGGAGCATGTTTATCTAAGAGAGATGACAATGTGAAATAATACAGCTCAGCAAGTTGGTTTACATCATCCGGGGGGTCTTGGAGTAAGTTGGAGTTCACAAGATCTCTTAGAAACTCGTCATTATCAATAGACTTCAGATTACGACAGGATTGTTTGATAGTCTGACGCTGAGGTCTGTCCATACTCCAGGTCATAGAAACCATAAAGTGATCAGACAGTTGTATATCCTGCACATTGGCTGAAGTCACCAAGGAACTACTTTCAGAGGATATTACCCAGTCAAGGATATGGCCTCCTTTATGTGTTGGAGCGTCAACATACTGACACAAACTATGTTGTTTGAGAAGAGTTTTCGTCTTCTTTGTATCTGAGCACTGACTGTTATCGTAGTGAATATTAAAATCACCTAGCAAAATAGTGTTTAACTGATTGTACCTCTCAACGAGTACAGACAACTCATCATGGAATACAGAGGTTGAAAGTTGGTTTTTCTTTGACGACGGTGGACGATACAAACACACAACATGAGCACAAGTATTTCCAGAACTAATTTTATTGTTGATTGACTAAAAGCTTTTGAATTGTTCCAAATTGTCTAAACATTCTATCTGAATGTTAGACCTATGTATCACTGCTACACCCCCACCAGCACGATGGGATCTGGGAGCATGTATACAGCTGTATCCAGGGGGTGTCAGCTCAGCGATTTTCACCTCATCCCCCTTTTCTCGTAACCATGTCTCAGTGTGAAAAAGAATGTCAACAGCATTTTCCTGAATCAAATCAGATAGTTCCAAAGTCGTGTTTTTGCATGATTGAATGTTTATCAAGGAGACATTGTGTGTATTTGGAAATCTTCTAGGATAAACTAAACTTGAACCAAGTTGTTAAAGTTAACACCTGACCTCCTCGTTCCATCCTCACTCTCAAATACTCCTTGAATCACTTTAATCCGTTTTGGTATCTTTCTGCCAGCTCTACGTGGCTAAATCGCGATGACAACTATCATATGATCCAATATTATACAACACCAGGTGTTTGCGAAATGGAGATGCTGCAATACCGAAACCATTCGGCTCTTACACAAGTTTCATTAGAAAGTATATGTATGTTCCCTGACCCTGCACATCAGCATATCCGCCAAACAACCGGTGCCTGTAATTCAACCAGACAGTTAGTGTGAACAAGATAGCACATGTACTGTTTTAATTGAACCTAACAGCACATGTAAATTGCTCGTAAATGAATGGGTACCATTTGAATTTAAATATTTTGTTGTCTATGGGCATGTCAAAGTTCACAAGGTTTCGTGATGCTTTAAAACATCTCAAATTTACTACATTTACCTGCATTCTAAACTTACCTACATCACCAGGTGCAATTTACTCCCGCCATGTTCTGTGTTGCGTAAACAATGTACTTTTGTCTATGTTGCAGAAATCCTGCTGATGTTCCGTCGGGACTGTTCCACGATGGACAAGGGCACGTGTTACAACCCTCAGGGTCAAAACAAAACTCTGTGTATTGAAGTATGCTTCACCGACAACTGCAACGCCGCTACCTCATCAGTGTTACCGTCCTCCACGTTGCTGCTGCCTCTCACGCTACTGCTGCTTCATTGTTTTCAATAACCCACCCACGTATTTCATGAGGCGACCCCGCGTATGCGGACATCCTACTATGGGAACTGTATATACCTGAAGAAAACTATCTATATTTTAAATACAATTGTTTCGATAGACCGCAGTAATCTGAAATTGTCTTTATTTACGAAGATATATTGTACCTTCATCTCAATACATCTCGGAATGATTGTTAGCAAGTAATGACTCATATATATACACTGACGTTCCCCATAGTACTTGTACAGATTAAGGATTAACGCGGTCCTCATAAATCAGGTTTCGTTATACCAACAAACACGAGATATCATCCAAAGGTGTTAGGAAACATGATATAACAAATCGAGTATCCCTCACTTAAACTCCAAAAACCATGATAACATCATTTATTTATGTTCATGTTATAATGTTATACTGATAACGAGGTGACGGTGCATGATCTGATGAATGAAATTCATATATTCTGTTGAACTCAAACCTAAACAGGGTCGCGAATGGCTGGGCGATCTTAATGTCGTGATGTCCCTTAACTATGGTCGTTGTTCAGATTCCCGTTCGTCATACAGTTGGAATGTTGCTGAGTGCGACGAGGAACGACAAACACAACACACACAATAATGGCAAAGATCTTCGACTTGCGTCACTCCAAGCTATCTTGCCACTTCAAGCCGACACGTCGTGTTATAACCGAAATGCTGTACAAGTGATCGTTAAATCTGCTTGCAACTTACCCGTTCAATAGATTGTGCTGCGTTTCTTAACAAATTTGTTTCTAGGAAAAGTGACACATAAGCTAAGTCAGGGGACAATTGGAACACATGGGATACCCAGTTTTCAGTGTAGTGGGTTGGCAACCTGTTGTACGGACTTCTTCAAAGTTGCTTTATGCTAAGATAAGGACAGTCCTTTTGTATCGCGCCGAAATCTGAATTTGGAACTTGTTTAACTAAGGTACATCAATTGCGTTCAGTGCACCTGTACGATTGTACACGGTCTCTCAATGTAACACTCTCCGCTACATATTTCTTTATTCAGTGTTAGGCGAGTGTGGTAGGAATCCCATTCATACACTAAAACCAGGTGTACCATGCTCATTGCATGTTCTGATTTATGGTTGGGTTCATGAACAAGGAATGTAAACTGGGTAGCGAAATCGACGAATAACAGCACTGCATCCCTCTCTTTAATCATACAAAATCTCCACAAAATGCATTTGAAATTGTGTTTGAAAATAAGGATAAATAAATGTGTGGCAACCAAAATGAATTTCTAATGTATTCCATCAAAATGTGAGGGATCATTTTCGAAACTCAAAACAACCTATGATAATTATTTGATATTTATGCAGTAATTTGAAATCCGTCTATTTCCGATTAAGCTGACAAACGTTACATATTCAGTGTGGACGGTATGGCAAAGTGCCAAATTACCAATGACATTTATGAACATGTAAACCTAGTACTTTAAAATCCATGAAAAGCAAGTTTTACGTTATATTAGTAAACGTTTGTGGGGCAATTGTACGTAAAACCAATCAGTATCCTAATATCCAATCATCATCGACAGATAAAAAATAATTAAAGTCGGAAAGGATTAATTTATTTTGTGAATAATAAATAATGAATTCGAACCTAATTAGTGTAATCTGTCAGTATTCATATTTGCTGTACACAAGAGCCAGAGGCTAAACTTAAAGCAACTGGAGTTAATTCAGTAGTGTTTAACGCCGATCTCCAATATTAGTAACAGAAATAGGAACGTGATAGTCATACAATCATTATATACACCCGACTATACCATTATAGCCTTAAGTGTCGTGTTGTGTCTGTGTCTCAAATGCCAATAACATGGTATCACATTCGTTGTTGTCGAATGTCCTCGGGTTTTCTGTTTTCATTGTCCATTCCTGTTAAGTGTCATTAGTAATCGCCGCCAATCTGTATGTATGAAAAAAACAAACTCGAATGTCAGACATCTATCAGATCACCCCAAGTTATTGTGCAATCCAAAGGATCTGTGATGGTCGATCCTCGGCATTCCCCTGAGAAAGGACATCAGTATAGATAATTAAGCAAGAGGAGTTCAACCTTAAGTCGTATCTTGACGGGAAGACCCTTGGGTGCAGCACTAACGAGTTCTCACGAGGCCTTCACGTATATTTAAGTTCTTTGTCAGCAATTGCCACTGGCTGAATTGTTTCTGTCTAGTATAATAGTGACTTCAACCCACATGTCTACCGGGGGTAATAAATCAGAGGGGCTAGCTGTACAAACAACGACAATGACACCATCACACGTCGTACACGCCGACCAGGCTGTGGGTGTTATAGACAAGGCTATGTAAGGTTGAACGTGGATTTGTTAACAATAAACGTCAACGCCAGAAAATATTCGGCCTTTATTATCTGATAAGACAGATTTAATTTAGCATAAAAGTAATATTGTGGGGAAATTTATGAATAGATCACTGACACCATGTGTTGGCGAACGAATGAATACCCAAGCCTCATTGTTGAGTAAGAACTAGCATGATCTCTAGAATGGTTTGACCAAATGGTTCCAGTGGGCTCGAAATTGGGTCAGCAAATTTAATAATTATTAAACGGGATCAGGTAGTCAGGCTCTGTGACTTGATTCATACATGTCGTTTTAGTCCAACTGCTTAGATAATGTTTCTGTTGGTCCAGATTCCACTATTTACAGACTGCTGTCATGTAGTTTGATTATTGCTGAATGCGACGTTAAATAACAGATACACACACAAACAATGCTCGTTTTGATTTATAATGCATGTGTCATCAGAACTGTTCTTACTCATCTCATGCTCTGGACCTCACTCACCTGGATACAGGTATGTTTCAAAAGATTTGTAAAAGAAAGAAAACAGAAGCACAGATCTTCAACCTGTATATATCGATGTTGTGTTGACCAATTCCATATAACCATTGATTATTGTCATGGATTCTATTTGACAATGCGTCTCTTGTCCAGCTGATATCTCTATGTAAGTGCTGTTGCTTTGTATCATGGTCCTCCTTGTTCTGTTGTCAGGTAAAGGATGATCAGGCCAAACAAACAATTAGATCGCGAAATATTTGTTTTATCCGTGAAGATTTTATTATGAAGAGCTGATATGTTCTTTTTCATATTGGGATGTATGTGAAGGTGACATTGAATTGAATTTGGTTTTTTTCCGCAGTTAAATATATACAAAAATATTTTATGTCACATTTTATCGGTTTCACCACAGCGGTACATGCGCCTGTTTTGATTCAGCCATGATAGACAGAGTGTATGATCCGTGTATTACCGCTACACTGCACGTTGATGCATTGATCGATCTTATTTTGCCTTTCTGAGGTCACACTTGTGTGGAAGCAAAGGTACTGAAGTCGGCTGATATTGTTATGATAGGTGATGAACATATTCAGCGCTGTAAAGAAAATCAGGTAACATAAGTTCGGGAATTTATGGGTATTTAAAACCTTATAATGTTTCTATACTTGATGTCATTCTGGTTGGTGTACGTCATATACAGGATGACATGTCGATTCCATGTTAATGTGTGTGTGCGCGCGCGTGTGTGTATGTGTGCGTCCGTGACTAGTGCATTCCCTATTCATTATCACATTCCATTTCGAATTCAATGTGTACATTTTAATGTTAACTTTAGGTATTAAAACTCTACTCTCAATAGCATTTACCACTCACTAGAAATTAGACCCGATGATTCTTTCATATTTCAAGAGACACATTAACTAATATATAATCCCAAATAGAACATGTGTAACATTTGACCATTTCTTAATAGGCCTTGTGTATTAATAGCTATCTGCCGTGTGAGCCGTGCCAATGTATACTTTGAGAAGGGTACACAAAGTACTTGATCTGGACTACCAGTTTTCAGACTTCCATCTTTGTTTTTGGTGCGCTGGCTCAGTGGGTTAGATCGCTGACTTTGTGTACTGGCGATGTTGTGCCTGACTCCTCAATCATCCAAAAGTATTTGAATTTGTATTTCATTGAGAAAATGTAATCCCAAATATACAGTTTAACTATTAGAGTAATATGAATGAAGTGTTTAGTGTCCTTTCCCCCCTTTAAGTAGTATATAAAGGACTCTCAGAAGCTGTTGGTTAAGTAGTCGAAATAAAGTGTGCCTTATTTTTGTCTCTTGAGTTCAAATTGACGTAAGTATAATGAATCATATCGTGTGAACGTTGGAAGACCCATATACCATTGTGTATACTGAACTTTCATATACATTATGTGTTATTATGTAGATGCCCCGAAGGCCTTACAAGATGATGTTTCTATGACAACTAATTATGTCTGGCAGATAATTTCAGAATAGATAACGCAACGCTCTAAGTGATAGACCAGTTGATCTTCTTGAGGAGTAATGATGATGATAGAGGTAATGTTGATGATGATGCTGGGTGTGTTAAAGGTCTACAGCTTTTGCCCAATACTTGTTCGACAATTCCTCTGAAAAAGAGTATTAGGTGCTGATGATGATGATCATAATCATGTTTTGGATGCTGTTCCATTCAGTTGGAACAAAAGCTCTATGTCTTAGCCTTTAGATTATACTCTTGTATTACAGAAGAGTATAGGAGTACCAGGAAGAAAATAGAAAATACCATAGAAACTATGGGGCTTCTTTTCAAAGTACAACATAATGATCTTGATCCAGAATATGGTCGATCCCTACAACACGCTCCCATTAAGTTAGATCTAGGGTTAGGCATCAGCCCTGAGACATGCTAATGTCAATCTCAGTTGTAATATGTCCGAAATAATGTCAATGCGACGGTATAATTACTCACTTAGACGATTTTAAGGGTGTCTAGCTGCCGTTAGATCACACGAAATTGCTGCTAGGATTACTACATAGGAAGGCATGGTATTTACAAAATGCGTAAACGTGACGATGATTCAAGAAATGGCGAAATTTTCAATGACGAAACTCCTGGGTCTAATTTTAGTGTTTATATGATGTAACGTTACATCATAATCAACTGGGTGCCTAGCTACATTGATATTGATACTGATTTATGGAGTTAGGGATGTTTATATAAATACGTGAATAATTCGTTTAGTAACTTTTGCATGACATCTAGAAGATTTTCATCATCAACATGCTTGTTTGGTACATGACAATGTATGATACATGTTTCCTATTTAACCCAGCATAACCTCGTTAGTCAGGGCCCCTTTCAAAAAGCGACCTCAGCAACACGATTGTCGTGAACTTATAGTGAAATATGAGAGATTCGATCGTCCTAGCACTGGGGTCGATTTGTGGAATGGGGCCGTGATCCTCCGTTGTCGAAAATCAGCTTTCCGGGAGATGGTATCGAGCGTACAAACTTTGTTTGAAGGTCCATACCATCATTTTCAACGAATGTGTGGATTATATGGGTTCAACATTATCGTCTGTATAGAATATCACTGCGTGTATAGCAAGTTGAGTCATCCAAGACATGTTGTCTGTTCTTGAATTACAATTGTGGTATGAAATATGAACTGCTTGTTGTTTGAACAGCTTGTATTTCTGTTGATTGTTTAATAGTCTTAGCAATACCGTGATGTATGTTATTGTTTCTGTTGACATGTCAATAAAATCTTTGTAGTCATCCTTTTCTCGGTTGTTTGTTTGGCGGTCTTGGAATCTTCACCCTTCACAGCGGGGACTCAACAACCAAGGAACTGAAACCTGAAACACTATACTTTTGGAATGGATGACGTCGAGCGATGCTCCAGGCTACAAGACTACACAGAAGGCGCGATGCACAAAGTGAACTATATACCATTGGGCTACTCACTGTTGAAGGGAGAAGGGTCGGAGCAGAGGACGTTATTTTGTACGCCATTTAGATTTGTATTTCAGTGCTGTCACGGACCCGTGAACATCCGGTTTAGAATTGATTTTCAATAACAAATGCTTGTCGTAAGCGGCGACTAAAGGGACTCGCTGAGTGGTTGACACATCGTATCCCAATTACGTTGATTGATGTTCATGCTGTTCATCACTGGATCATCTGGTCCAGGCTCGGTTATTTACAGACCGGCGCCATATAGCTGGAATATTGCGGAGTGTGGCGTAAAGCTTAACTCACTCACTCACCCGTGGTGTCGCGGCATGCCAGTTTACTTTGGGATGAGAGTCATACGTGATGCAGGTCTTAGCCGTTCAGCACTTGGATGAAATCAGGGAGCATTGTTAATTAAAGTGGGTTGGGGGCAAGAAGGTGTTCGTTCGTGTGTACATACGTGTGTGTGTGTCGTGGACAGTATTACAGGTTCTATAACCAGGTAATACAGTGTCAGCCTTTGAAACCGATTTGTTTCGTCTCCTAATTCACAAAGTAGCTTCTGACATCGAGAACATACACAGGACATCCCATTCATGACTCTGACACCGCGAACTTACACAGGACATTTCATACAGAAATGCGTTTTCATAGTTATATACCGCATGTCAACATTTGCGTTTGTCACCAAACTCTTCATACTAGCTATACAAGTAGCCATGGACAACAGTATACAACGTGAGTGTATATATTCGCCAATTCTGACAGGCTAATTCCTTTGATGCCTCTTTGTAGCCAACATCATCAGGCCTCGTTTATGTGATCAGAAGTTCATAACGGCAATTCAATCTTTGCTATGGGGTTTGGGGTTGATATCAATTCGTTGTTGGGGAAACTAAATATTTACTCAAATTTTCGAATTGCTCACATTTTTTGCCTACCACACACACACAAGCACGCGTGCACGACAAAACATATTATAATACAATTATACTTGAAGAAATCATTGAGTTAAATACCAATCCCATCCCCCTAAAAGGATAATAAATGATTTTACGAGTGCTTCAACTAATTCATACTCTCTGTTACTCTCCTATGTTGCGTTCCATGTACAAAGTCAAGGTGGGATGAGACAAACCATTGATTGTTTTGAGGTGCCAAAACACATTCCATAGGGTTACGATGACAAGCAGTTACCAAAGTTACGAATGTTATGGTCACCAGTTATGGCTTTCCAAAATTACCACGTGGTCGCTCCTTATTATTCCGATAGTGCCCAGTTTCACAAATAATGAATGTAGCACAACCATATAACTTTCATTTGAATGTCAACAGTGTCGATGTGTCACACTCCGTTGTCGTTTGATACTTGTAAAATTGGTAGATTCCGGGCCGAAGATTGTTTATGTCCATCATCTCTGTGATAAATCCCTATGATCTTCATTTCTGTGATAATTCCCTATGATCATCATTTCTGTGATAATTCCCTATGATCATCATTTCTGTGATAATTCTCTATGATCATCATTTCTGTGATAATTCCCTATGATCATCATTTCTGTGATAAATCTCTATGATCATCATTTCTGTGATAATTCCCTATGATCATCATTTCTGTGATAAATCTCTATGATCATCATGATCATTATTCTTGTGATAAATCTCTATGATAATCATTTCTGTGATAAATCCCTATGATCATCATCTCTGTGATAAATCTATGATCATCATCTGTGATAATTCCCTATGATCATCATTTCTGTGATAATCTATGATCATCATTTCTGATGATCATCATCATGTGATAATTCCCTATGATAAATCTCTATGATTCATCATGAGAAGCAGTAAACATGTGATAAATCCCATGACAACCCGTGGACGAATGTTCATCATCTCTGTGAAAATAAATGGCTATCCTGAGGATGTATTGAAATGCAAGTATCTAAGTGGTGCTTTGTGCAAAGTAACAGTTTTAATGTTTGTGTATTTTGGTCAATCAAAGTTTCAAGAGTTTACTTTGTGTTGCTCGAATTGACAACGGACTACACGAGTTCACATGAAACTGATTATACAAGAAACTATGCCAGAAACTCCACAATCAGGACGATTATGCTGAGACATATTGCAGTTACACATATTTTGGGAGACATAACGTACATGTACCTATCGGGGAGGTGAGGTAGCGTGTTGGTGAAGCATTCGACCGGGTATCGATTCCCTAGATCGACACAATGTTTAAACCAACACTATGATATTGGTGCAATGACGTTAAAAGCGGAGTAAACAATATTCACCCATTCATGTACAAGAGTGAGTGAGTGAGTATGGTTTTACGCTGCTTTTAGTAATATTCCAACAATATCACGGCGGGGGAAACCAGAAATGGGGTTCACATATTGTACCCATGTGGGGAATCGAACGCGGGTCTTGAGCGTGAAGAGCTAACGCTTTAGCTATTAGGCTACCCACCGCCACAATAGGAACAGGACTCTGATTGATAAGGTTTCCCTGTATGAAACATTATTTCCCGGAACTGTACGCACTAGACAATGGTATGTCACAAGAGATAAGTAGATAAGTATACACACATATGTCACGATCCCATCCCTAACTTCGCCGACGTAGAGACAGGCTTAAACTGTGAGTGATCACGATTTACCTTTGTATTTTTATCTCGGTCTATGTATGTTCCAGAGTTGAATAACACACACATGTATTGGTATGTGACAATTTAATTTGTGTTTATCATATAATGACATAATTTGATGATGAGGTTATAAACAGTAAATAGCCTACACATAATATAATTAGACCCGTGAAGATCCGGGATAGAATTGATCTTCAGTAACCCATGCTTGTCGTAAGAGGCGACTAACGGGATCGGGTGATCAGGCTCGCTGACGTGGTTGACACATGCCATCGTATCCCAATTGTGTAGGTCGATGCTCATGCTGTTGTTCACTGGATTGTCTGGTCGATTATTTACAGACCGCCGCCATACAGCTGGGATATTGCTGAGTGCGGCGTAAAACTAAACTCACTCACCCACATACTATAATTATGATGGTCAACATTATTTGGACTATCGAGCAAGCAATGGACCAGAGCTATAACTCTACTGATACTATACAACTTTCAGGCTGAACATGAAGGGGCTACTTGTACTGGCGGTAAGTTGTTTAACACTGAAATACAAACTACCAGAGTAATGATGTCAGTCCTGGTTAAATTATAGAGGGCGCTGGGGTACCCTTAGTGGTTAAAGTGTTCGTTCGTCATGCCGAATACCCAGGTTCGATTCCCCACCTTCAGTACAATCTGTAAGTCCATTTCTGGTGTCCCCCGCCGTGAAATCTCATAGTAGGTTTGATGTGTGTTGTGTATCTTTATTATCTTGGAAGCGCTCGTTAAATCACCAACAGTAATAACTGAGGATACACAGTAAATATTGTTGTTCTTTTTCTATTATTTTTACGCAACTCTCTTACCAAATTAAGCGCAAACGTGCTTTTTAAGGAGTATACGTTTATAGTCCCTTCGCAATTTCTGTACGGTTTGAAAACGATACAATTTAACAAAACTTGGTGTAACGATGATCCGATATTGTTAAACAACAGTCTAACAGACAAATCCTGTCTGCTGATTTACCCAACAGGAAACAGGATGTGAGCAAGACGACCTCCTCTGTGTTATATTTAGATCTATGCGCAAAAATTCAGAGTGACAAAGCATCCTCCACAAGATGCATGACAAGGGTGATGAAAGTCACGATTCCCTTTAAATCGACCAGTATTCCGCCTTTGGTGTCAAAATGCCACATTCTACAATCGAGCATGTTTTTTCTTCTGCCAGGATTTCGAAAAACGCCCTACTGTTCTTGTTTGATCAAGGTTACACATTCAAGGACTCAATAATTCAAAGATTTATGGTACACACCCGGAGGACACTTTAGCACTGGTGCATCAAAGTTACGAAAGCCTAATGTTGTTTTTGGGGGGTTTCTCGTTGCTTCAAGTTTCTTTCAAAAACTTGAAATTTCCAATATTTACACGTTGCTCCGAGTATTTTCTCGTTGTTTCAAGAGAAATTTCAAGTTTTTGAAAGAAACTTGAAGCAACGAAAAATAATCGAAGCAACGAAACAATAATTGAAGTAACGAGAAAATAATCGAAGCAACGTGAAATGTCGCTGAAAAAATATGATATAGTGTAGCAGCAGTAGGCTTTTGTACAAAGTGACGAGGCAATGCTCTTTTTCCACCCGTGAAGATCCGGGGTAGAATTGATCTTCAGTAACCCATGCTTGTTTTAAGAGGCGACTAACGGATCGGGTGGGCAGGCTCGCTGACTTGGCTGACACATGTCATCTTATCCCAATTGCGTAGATCGATGCTCATGCTGTTGATCACTGAGTTGTCTGGTCAAGATTCGATTATTTACAAACCGCCGCCATATAGCTGGAATATTGCTGGGTGCGGCGTAAAACTAAACTAACTCACTCACTCGTGTTTGTGTCGGGTGCCACCATTGAGACAAGGCACGATCACCAGCTTTCACCGTTGTGGGATTGTGATTACTAAAGTTACACATGCATTATGCAGCCGGAATCATATAAATCGACTCTGTTGTTGACAGGGATTTATTATGACTGTAGACACGTGTTTATAGCTGTTATTAAACATGTTTAAATCTCGGGGGATGTAGAGAGATATTGGCCAATGCTAAACCTTGGTTAAACACGTGTCTAATATCCATACACGTTCATTATACTCATAAGTTTTATCGCTAAAGAGTTCCATTAAGCAGGGGAGGCAACGAGGTGTCAGCAATAAGTGTTAATGAAGGCAGATTAAACGTATATATACATTCTGATTACTTTCAGATTGTTTTGGTTTCGGCGTCCACGCTGATTGAAGGTAGAGATTTATATTCATGTATTGATCAACTCCTTGAAATAAATGTCATTACATTGACCGCGCACACACAGATTGAACGTGTTGCAGGTGAGAGTGGATGGATGTATTGGTTTATAACGAGACGATTATTGTCAGGGGAGAGCTGCACAGGAAAGTTGTTATATACTGACCTAATAAAGCTCCGTTGAGAATACAGTGTGGCACACAGAGTAAATACTGATCTATGTTACTTTATCCTAAATCCTTTCATTACGTTACATTATTTGTGATGTTTTCCCTCTTGTTTATCAACTGTTTCACATTAACTAGACTAGATAATAGCTCAGATATGATTCCTATAGAATGTTTATAACCCTACTCAAACCAGAAAAGTAACCAACACACCTAACATTCAGAAAGTTGAGAAATTCATTGATACGACTAAGATTAGGCCTATCAAACTTAATGATAGGAAGACGTATGTCCATCGACAGATTTCAAAGATATAATTTGCCCATTGTGTAAATTATCTATTGAAAACGAAATTCATTGTTTATTTGTCTGTCCATCTTACATTTATAATATATTCCTGAATGTTACCTCTCCAAGTCACCTACTGTAGCATTAAACAATTCCTGTCTACTAATGACAACTGTATCAACTTTAAACTATCACAGTACATGTACAATGCATGTCTAAGCGTGATATTCTGTTAAAATCATCTCTGTATTCAAGGTGTATGTGATTGCATGTAACTCCAATGTATATGGGCCGGAGGCCTGAAATACAATAAACATCTTTGACTTGACTTGACTTGACTAACATCTAGTCTCCGAAATGAGCATATTTTACAGAAAAAACTGTTCTTAAAAAATAATCATAAAATTTCACGAAAAGGGGCCCAGACACTTTCTTCATTTTCAGAAATTGAAACTGTGGGAATTTAAATTTGCCACATATTCAAGACTTGCATAGGCTCTCTTGGAGATATTTGTTTCAGGGTATGTATGACAGACTACACATTAACATGCATTAGTATTTGTTTTGAGGACCTTACTGTTAGCTTTCGTAACTTTTGTTTTTGATTTAAGGTAGAGCGGCCGACCTTTCAAGCCGAGATGGTAAGAGCCTTGTCACAGTATTAGTCTGGCCATACATTCCATGGTAAAACATAGGCTTAGGTGTTTCTCGTTGACGGATAAGTCAGTGTAATGGTTGGAGTGAGTGAGTATGGTTTTACGCCGCTTTTAGCAATATTCCAGCATTATCACGGCGGGGGACATCAGAAATGGGTTTCGCACATTGTACCCATAAGGGGAATCGAACGCGGGCCTTCGTCGTGACGTGCGAACGTTTAACCATTAGGCTATACCATCGCCCCAATCGTTTAAAACGTAGTGGTAGTATATTATTATTTGTAAGAGTACACAGCAGTTATGAGTTAATACAATGTATGTGCAACACTAGAGCGGTATGGAGCCTAATATTAGACTTATTGTGGGGAATCGAACCCGGGTCTTCGGCGTGAGGAGCGAACGCTTTAACCACTAGGCTACCCCACCGCCCCTATAACGGTTGGAAATGACAGATTATTTGGTAGATATTATCCGCGACTTAGCTGAATGCCAGGTTATAAGACTATGATAACCTTCACAGTCGGACTCACAACTATTGGAGACGGCCTCAAGGCTAGATGTATGGGCGATGGACTAGCCTAGTGGATAAAGCGTTCGCTCGTCATGCCAAAGACCCGGTTACGATACCCATCATTAGTACAGTGTGTGAAGCCCGTTTCTGTCATCATCCCGTGATATTGTTGGAATATTGCAAAAGCCCCGTAAAACCATACTCACTCACTCACTGTTAGTCACTGTCACCATAGCTTGCAACTCGTCAAAATGTTCTGATGACTCTGACTTAATAATTGATGGTTCTTTAAATAAAGAGTGCTACGATAAACTACAATCAATCAATCAATCAATCTATCAATCTTTAAATAAAAGTAGTTTTATGACACTTGATCACAGTGGGTCTTGTGCTAATGGTGAGAATGGTTTGCATGCAAATGAAAATGTTGCAGTGGGTAATGGGTTCTGTGCTAATATCACTGATTTCCTGCATTGCATCGGCAATAATAGTACTCCATGATATAAGCTGGAAATGGATCTCTATAATATTCATATACCAGTGGGTATCTGTAATAGGTTGATGAGTCCCACTGACAATGGTTGGCTATGATAGATGATGAACACTTAATCACTTCATCAGCTGATGCTATGTGATGGTTTCTCCCTGCAGCAGACTGCCAGCCCCCGATGTGCCCCATGTATCTCCCAGCCTGTGTGGTATACACCAAGGATGCCAACGGCTGTAACACATGTTACTGTGATATTCCCTTTTGAAACGGAATAAAATTCTCTTAAATCTGCCAGTATCATTTGTCATGGTGTGATGAGTTGTCCAAGTATATAATATGAATAACACCAAGCCCAAACCGGAAATGCCTGCAGAAATATAACTCATGATGTTTAGCTTTGATGCGCGTTTCAACTACACTGAGCGGACTGACTTGGTTTCATGTCTAAAGCCTTTTTATTTGCACAAGGCACCAAACTATGCAGTGCAGAGAGGCATCCTTTGGGCGTGCCAGGAAGCAATATTGCTAGTTGGAATTACAGATTCGCGCTGACTTTGATCCTATACATTTCCAGGTAATGGCGTTAATCTCGAATCAAGTCGATCACTCACTCAAAGGTCGGGTCAGCACCAATCGCGACACTGGGGACAATGTGGAACCCAAACTCGTATATTCAATATATTGGTTACGGGTACGAGGAACGTGCATCATAGTTTGTTATACGATTTACGATCACAAACACCTCTGAATAAGAAATCTCAGAACTGTGGCATTGCTTGATCCAGCGACACAAACTGAACCCATGCTTGATCCAGCGACAAAAACTGAACACATTTGTGATTTAGCGACACACACTAAGCACATGCTTCATTCAGCGACACAAACTGAACCCATGCTTGATCCAGCGACACAAACTGAACACATGCTTGATCCAGCGACACAAACTGAACACATGCTTGATCCAGCGACACAAACTGAACCCATGCTTGATCCAGCGACACAAACTGAACACATTTGTGATTTAGCGACACACACTGAACACATGCTTGATTCAGTGACACAAACTGAACCCATGCTTGATCCAGCGACACAAACTGAACCCATGCTTGATCCAGCGACACAAACTGAACCCATGCTTGATCCAGAGACAAAAACTGAACCCATGCTTGATCCAGCGACAAAAACTGAACACATCTTTGATCCAGCGACAAAAACTGAACCCATGCTTGATCCAGCGACAAAAACTGAACCCATGCTTGATCCAGAGACAAAAACTGAACCGATGCTTGATCCAGCGACACAAACTGAACCCATGCTTGATTCAGCGACACAAACTGAACCCATGCTTGATCCAGCGACAAAAACTGAACCCATGCTTGATCCAGAGACAAAAACTGAACACATCTTTGATCCAGCGACAAAAACTGAACCCATGCTTGATCCAGCGACAAAAACTGAACCCATGCTTGATCCAGAGACAAAAACTGAACCCATGCTTGATCCAGCGACAAAAACTGAACACATCTTTGATCCAGCGACAAAAACTGAACCCATGCTTGATCCAGCGACAAAAACTGAACACATCTTTGATCCAGCGACACAAACTGAACACATGCTTGATTCAGTAACACAAACTGAACACATGCTTGATCCAGCGACAAAAACTGAACCGATGCTTGATCCAGTAACACAAACTGAACACATTTGTGATTTAGCGACACACACTGAACACATGCTTGATTCAGTGACACACACTGAACCCATGCTTCATTCAGCGACACAAACTGAACACATTTGTGATTTAGCGACACACACTGAACACATGCTTGCTACAGTGTCACAAACTGAACACGTGCTCTTTAATAAATGGGCTATCCCAATTTGACTTGGATTACGTTTCCGACAGTTTCATTTGCTTGCCGGGCGGTGGGGTTGCCCAGTGGTTAAAGCGTTCGCTCGTCACGCCGAAAACCCGAGTTCGATTCCCAACATGGGTACAACGTGTGAAGCCCAATTCTGGTGTCCCCAGCAGTGATTTTGCTGGAATATTGCTAAAAGCGATGTATAAATATACTAACTTACTCACTCACTTGCTTACCGGGAAGAAACTATCATGTATTTGTTATTCGCTAAAATTAAGAATCTGGAAGTTCAACTCGACAAGTTTGTCTGGGATCACAAATAGTAACCTCTTCTTTATTTTGCTGATCTCATACAAAAACCAAAAGGTGTTTTGATTATATTCCTACTTTATACACAATTTGAAAGTACACTTTGTGAAAACGGTACCGTAGGCGCATTGGCGGGGTATGGGTTTTATCGGTGACCAATTAAAAAAACCACGCCATCTCTACCAATGTACACAGTGTATATTGCATTATGTGAGCTTTGCGAGTCCCACAAGTGTATAATCACTGCGATGGAGAATTCGCTTGATAGGAACGCATTGAAATCTCCATTTAAGCAATCACCAACCTCTGTTCTTCTCATATACAAACACGCCAGGCGTTGGTAACCATAGTGATTAACAATTGACACCTAAATTATTCAATGCGTTTGAACGTCTAGTGCGAAAGCACATGGTTCCTTGACGAGGTGCCGGTGAAGTACAAAACAAAGGCTTCTAACACCGTTCCCCGTCAGTACTCTGAGGTAGCTAACAAGGTAAGTGTTGTATGTCTGTGGTGTGACTTGGTGTCATCTAAACCATGGCTATATAGCGGGGGAGATACAGTGCACCTATTTGAACTGACTAAACGAACACATGGAAATGTACTTCCATATTCCTATTCATATTAATACTGAAATCAAATATGAAAATCTCTAATGCCTCGAAATGACTATCACCAATTTTGTAAATAACTAATAAAAATTATGCACTCCTAAAAAGTCAAACAATTGTCCGATTTGGGTTGTGTCAGTATTATTCTCCATGTTCATTACCAAGTCGAGACTGGTTTTAAAATCTTTCAAATGTTATTTCCAATCAATCTTTATCTTGTCTTAACGTAATTATTTAATGCCTTGGCTATTTTAACTGGACTATGTGTTTGTCACTTTACAGGAAGCCTTAGTGAAATGTAATTCCAAGATGTCCACCAAACATATGTTATTTTCTAAAGCAATTCTTCCTTGTCAGTGTTAAAATATTCTATTGAAGCATCACGTCTATTACATATCCATGGATGACACTTCGGGTATTACGTGTAGATCATTACTAATTATTCTAAATGTAGCGAAATATGTTAGATATTTTTGTCTCTGCGCATTGTATAGTCATTGTCACTTTCATTATATCATTATATCTATGTTCAATGATGTACATGGGCCGATGACCTAAAAACGAATAAAATATTATTGTAGGTCATATGAATAGATATATATTTACCGCCTGGTCTGTGTCATTGACCGGATCGTAGTCTAGTGGATAGTGCGTTTACCCGGATAACGGAAGGTCAACGGTTCGATCCCCAGCCGCCTCATTTAACAAAAATACGTTAGCTGATGGCTCCGGGCTGTGGGGTAGCCTAGTGATTAAAGTGTTAGCTCGTAACGCTGAAGACCCGAGTTCGATTCCCCACATGAGTACAATGAGTGAGGCCCACTTCTGGTGTCCCCCGCCGTGATATTTCTGGAATATTGTTGAAAGCAGCGTAAACCATACTCATTCACTCACTCACTCACTCCAATGATGTAGTATTAGAGGAACCTTAATATGTATTTTAAGTTTGAACATTTCATTAGTAAAGCTTAGTTCCGTAAGCCAAGGTTTGTGTTAAGCGACTGACTCAAAAATACCTGCAGTATACCTGCACAGCCGGTTGTATGAATCGGTTTGGATTTTCGGCAAAATATATTTTTGTACAAGGAAAACTTGACGCTAAATGTATAGATTGAAGTCATTCATGATTGTCCTAAAACAGCTATTTCGCTCGAATGGAAACTAGGACGATTAATGCATGTTAAATGTGTCAGTAAAGTATGGGACCTGTGAAGATTCCGGTTAGAATTGGTCTTCTGTAACCCATGCTTGTCGTAAGAAGCGCCTAACGGGATCGGGTGGTCAGACTCGCTGACTTGGTTGACACATGTCATCGGATCCGAGTTGCGTAGATCGATGCTCATGCTGTTGATCACTAGGATGTCTGGTCCAGACTCGATTATTTACAGACCGCCGCAATATAGCTTGAATATTGCTGAGTGCTGCGTTAAACAACAAACCAATAAACAGTGAAGGAAACTGGTTCTGAACCCTTTATCATCAGTGTCAATCTGTTGCAGATAACCTCAATCACCTGTCGTGGAGATCCAGTATGAAGTCCCTGTTGATGCTGCAGGTTCTCCTTGTGTATAACCTATGGTCAAGTATCGCCGTCGAGACGCTTGATTCTAGGGACACAGAGAGGAGGACTTCTGTAGACAATCTTGCTAGCGGTTATGAGGGTTACTCAGCGAGTTCGCCAACTGGAAATCGTGAATCGTCCATAGGCATAACTTCTTCGGTGATGGAGTCCACAGGGATATGGGCTTCCTCGATAGACCTATCCACGCATGTCCCTGTATCTGAACCTACAGTCGTGCTTGATTCAATAACAGAAGCCGACCCACTGCTTGTTCAAGCGTCAGAGCCCACAGCCGTGTATGATTCGGCAACAGAACGCACCTCAAACCTTCTCAGGGTATCTGATCTCACAGGTACGTTTGATTCAATGACAGTGGCCGTAGCTATGCTTGATTCAGCGACAGAAACCCCAGCTATGCTTGATTCAGCAACAGAAACCCCAGCCATGCTTGATTCAGCGATTAAAACTGCAGAAACAACAGCCGCGTCTGTTTCAGTGTCAGCGACCCCGGTTTTGCTTGGCTCATCTACAGAAACCACAGACATAATTGATTCATTTGTACTAAGAAGTATCACATCCACAAATGAGACAACTCATGTAAGTGCCAGTCACCTACTAACCAACACATCCTTCCAGGACACCGTATACAGTAACACAGGCAATGCTACGGTCGATGGTGATCGGCCTCCTCCGATGGAGTGGGCCGAAGATGAGCTCGTGCTTGTTGATGGACCAAAGACGAGCTACACTCTCGCCTACCAAGTAGAAGCTTGTGGACGGCACTGCAGGAACGGCACCATCGTTTGGTCAGCACCTCCACGGAACTCGCCCTTCAGCTGCAGCAGGTGCTATTGTGACAATCTCTGCACATCATACGGCGATTGCTGCCCGGACGAAAATGGTACTGTGCCTTCCCGCGATTTGGATGTCGGCTACGTGTGTATGAGGCCAGGTAGATTTACCACTACAATGTACTACATGATAAAGCGGTGCCCGTTCAGTGTAACCAGTGTGGTTAACGATGAGCTGTACCCTGTGACATCCGTCCGGACACTTCAGACGTACTTTAATCAAGCCTTTGCTGCATGCAACAACGATACTGACGTCATTCATTGGTTGAATGACACTACGTGCTCTGGTATCGATGGTAATGAAACAACAACAAGGGAGACAACTCAAGGGCGAGGCGTATCAGAATGTCATGTCACGTTTACACCAGCTCCAGAGACGGTTACCCATCGACAATGCAGCTGGCATAAAACAGTAGCTGCGGATAGGATCGTCGACAAATGTAACAGCAGTGGGATATTGGCATACGTCGATCCAGTCCTGGACACTCTTTGCCAGTCGAGTGAATATCTGGTAGACAGCTATGGCACAGTTTACAAGAACGTCTTTTGCTCTTTATGCAACACCATTTCACTCATTCCTCCAGGTTTTGCTGATGACATGCAGGATGCTCCAATATCTTTGGGCGTCCTGACTAGCTTCACCGTCCGGGGAGGAAATCAAGACGAAGAGGCTGAGAAAGTAACCTGTGCAGAGAATGAATGGTCAGATCCCGTTACAGTGAGTACCTGTACCATTGAGTGAATGTGTTTAGTTTTACGCCCTTTGGTGGTGTTCCCCGCTGTGATATTGCTGGAATATTGCTAAATGCGGCACAAAACCTAACTCACTCACCCACTCACTCATCAAGTCATTGCGGATAGTTATTCTATACATAGATGTGAAGAAGTGGGAGATTGGTACCCATGAACATGCCTACTTCTTGATTGAATGTCGTATCGCCAAATGCCAACTACCAGTGATGCCAACTCCAGCATTATTCAAAATGTGGGATAGTAGTATACAAAGCTGATAAACCAAATATTCGGACAAACCAGTAACAGCACTGTTATTTTGTGAAATAACAGAATTAATGGAAAATATTGTGACACAAGACACAATACACAAAGTACTGAGCGTGAGTGAGTTTAGTTTTACGCCACGTTTAGCAATATTCCAGCAATATCACAGCGGGGCACACCAGAAATGGGCTTCACACATTGTACCGATGTGGGGAAATCGAACCCGGGTTTCCGGCGTGACGAGCGAACGCTTTAACCACCAGGCTACCCCACCGCCCCCAAGGTACTAAGAAAAAACTGTTACCTGATAGTATGATGTATATTGGTATGGTGTTAAAAGCCTTTGCGAACAGCGAATACTCTACATGAGGTTTTCCTTCATTAAATCAAGACTAACGCAACTTCAATCATGGAATTTGAAACCAAATTCACAATGAGTTATTTTGTTTCAGAAAAGATGCAGAGAGATCAAATGTGTACCCGGCAGATATTTGGAAGGGGAAAACTGTGCCCTTGATGACACTGACATTCTTCATACAGAATACTACAACGTGATGAAATTCACGTTCACCAAGAACATATTTGATGTGAAGAATTGGACGGACGTAATGACAATGGTTAGGAACAGCATGCCTGAAATGCTCTCTAAGTTTGATGTCCTTGTTTACAGTTTTAGAGTGGAAGAACTTGTATATCCTGATTCTGATCCTGGTGTAGAAACGGATTATAATGTTGGAATACATATTGAGTTTAGATCTGAGAGGAATGGTTCACGTTCCGAATACGAGTCTTACGTGTTCAATATAACATGGGGCGAATGGGTGTTCCAGTACAATGGTGCTGTTACAGTTCTCCAGCCAGAACGGTATGACTATAGTGCTGATAGAGATGACTGGCATATCTTTACATTTGATCCTTTAGCTAAGACCTGTTGCTCGGACGAGCCTTACGGAACATGGCTGTATAGGCTCTCAGAATTATTTAGTTGGTTTCCCCTGAATCCTGAAGTAATGGTACCTCTCCATTCACTCTTATGTCCCTATGTCATATTGGATGAAGAGGAATTCACTATATCTCCTAACGGGTCTCTTCTGCTGTTCTCCGGAAATGCCACCTTACGAAAGGAAGAGTATTTCCAGGATTATTTCGAAATACAAGTATGCCTTGATACACTCCGATTAGCATTAAACGACTACAATGATACTGAGGCATATATCATGGAAGACAATATGTCGCATGTACAGGGTTATCTCTCCCTGGTGTGTACTTGTATATCTCTGATCTGCCTCCTCTTAACGCTGATTACTTTCTTTAAGTTTTCCGCCCTACGGAGCCTCCCTAACAAGAATACCATGCTCTTGTCCATGTCGCTCTTTGCTGCTCAGGGAACATTCCAGTTCGGTGCCGGACGTACAGGGAACAAAATGGCCTGCCAAATAATCGGTGTTGCCATCCATTTCTTGTGGCTGACGGTGGTGTTCTGGATGAACGTCTGTTGTTATCATATGTTCAGAGTCTTTGCTTCATCGGCAAAAGGTAGGATTGCCCATTCGATCCATTGGAAGACTCTAATGAAGTATGCCCTTTACGTCTACGGATCTGCGTCTGCAATTGTTGCTGCAACCATTGGCGCTAATTATGCCATTTCACACGGTACGTCCACTGGATATGGTGAACGGTTATGCTATATCAACGATCCAAAGGTCAATGGTTTGGCGTTCGTTCTACCTCTTGGAATCACGATTGTGGTAAATACAGTTCTGTTCTCCTACTCGATCTATACGATATCCAAGATCAGTAAAATTGAGACGACATCCTCCCTTGACAGGAGAAACATGTTTGTCTATATCAAATTGTCGACTCTGACAGGAGTGTTTTGGGGGTTGGCTATCTTGGCCGAGGTTACAGCCATCAGCGCATTATCCTACATCTCGGTTGTTCTTAATGGAAGCCAGGGAGCCTTCATCTTCATATCATATGTGGCCAATCGTCGGGTCTACAGGATGTGGAGAAAGGTTTGTCGTCACGCAGACTACACTGGGTCTAGATCGAGTCAATACACTGAGAGTTCAAGATTTTAAATTACACAGATATGTAACATGGCCGTTTAGCGAGGGCTCGAGGTGTACATCCTATTCAAAATGGAGCAATTTGACATTGAAATGTGATGCAATGTGTTCACATCCCTTTGATGGCTCAAGTAATTCATTTACACTCGATTTGTGAAATATATTTATGTCATTGTTTCATTTTTTTTATGCAAACATGCATATAAGAGAGTTGAAATGACAATGTGGTGAGGTGAGGTGGGGGTTTAACGTCGTGTTTACGATTACTGCACTAATGACATATATTATGCAATATATACTAGCAAAGAACAGAAACTATGCACAAATACAGATGTAAAAACAGTAGTTCGTGAATTCCGTATGTGCGTGCAACAAGTTTATACATGTGCATGTCGATGAAATGCGTGGAGCATATATATGTCAAATTCTGCTGTCGATTTGGAAAGCTGACAGTTGTTAGTTCAAGATGAAACGGCTAATGAACCGCACATCATGCATCGACTCACGACTGCAGTGACTGCTGCTCAGATCATTCCAGGACTTCGGCGTATTCACCCCAACACTTACGTCATTACGGGATACAACATGTCGCCCCGCCAGTCGAACAATGCTGAGGCAACGTCATCGAGAAAAGCGTCAATATGTTGTCGACATGTTGCCCGCTTTCCCCAGTTGTAGAGAAGGGCGAGTCCAGTCTAACATATCCAGAAGTGACGTGCTTCAACCTGTCTACAGACGTCTTGAGGATCGTTATGGAGAGGAGGTGCTTTGAGGGTCGTTCTTTGATGTTTTTGGGTGGGATAAGTGTATGTGAGTTAGTTATTATATAAGAAATTTGGCAGGTGTGGGATACAGAGATCAAATTATCGGACCAGTGTCAATTTCGTTTCTTAAACATCAGAATTGACATTCCGAAATGATAATGCCCGTTCTCCCATTTCCTCAACCGTACAATGTTCAGGTACTGCTTTAGGCTGCAGTTACACCCAATCTCTCCACTACTGAGCATGCGTGGGGTGAAATGGATCGACGTCTACGCCGTGTACCAAATCCACCAGTAAACGTTCGTGAGTAGGCAGCAGAGTTGCAGAGAGTATGGCAAGCGATTCCACAAGCGTTTCATGCCCATTTAATAAACTCTATACATTGACGATGCACTCGCTGCTAACGGTGGACATGTCCCATACTCAAGGATAGCGGACATTCACAAGGGGTGTAGCATGTCCGGAAGCGCATGTAAAATCTCTGGATTCACTTTTCTAATCCTTCAATCTCGCGGGTAGACCAACATCTAGTCTCTGAAAGGAACATATTTTACAGAAAAAAAATGTTCATAAAAAATAATCATAAAATATACATGTAATGAAAAGGAGCCCAGAGACTTTCTTCATTTTCAGACCGTGGGAATCTAGACTTGCCACATATTCTAGACTTGCATGGGCTGTCTTGGATATATTTGTTTCAGGGTCAGTAAGACAGACTACCTCGCGGTATTACGAATGACAATTACGAGCTGTACGACCGATTCTGTCAAACTCATCGTCTATCACTCACTTAAGTGGGAAGAACAGGAGGAGAAATTGCATGGCCAATGGAAAGTACTTGCCACACCATCTCGGCCTTATATACAGAACAGCAAAAGAAACGCAAGTTTCGAAAAAATGAAATCTCATGAAAGTAAGCGTTCATGTTGATGGAACGTTCATGGAAAAGTGACATAAAGCCAGACTTGCGTTTCTTTTGCTGTTCAGTACATAAGACAGTTATGAATGTTCTTTGGTTCAGTTATGTTCATACTTTGAATCAAGAAATATGCTGATATATTTTAAAGCTCAGTCTGGAATTGGAGTCATATTTTGAATCTAGTGTCGTGGGTCTCGTGGGGCTTTCTGGTTATCTAATGCCGACTTACATTCATAAAAACGTAGATATCTGCGTGGATGCCCGTACCACTGAAACAGATGTTCGTTCATACTGTGATTTTAACGTTCGCTTGCAAATATTTCAGTGACGGTTTCCTGTACAAACAGGTCTATCGTTGTTATTTTTTCATGTTCAGTATTTGTTTCAATTAAATATGTTGTACAAATTCACTGATTCTTTCATTTATTCAAAAGTGTATGTTTATGACAAACTTATGTCCATACTGTTACCATACATGCCAAGTACAGTTACCAGATAAAAATATTCAAATTTATGAAAAGAAAGAGTATCAATCTTTGATTGATTTTAGGGTGTAACGTGGACATTTTCACATATATTATATTTGGCTGACAAATATGTTTATTTGGAATGGTGTTAAATTATTCAGTTTGGTAACATTACGGACATTTATTAAGATATAACTTTATTATCCCGGAGGAAATTCTTCTTGCATCAAAACGGTCTCAAAATGGATATATACACAATTCACAAAAAATTACATAATAATTTCATGCACAAAATGAGTGCTTTTTACGCACATATACACATATAATTGACATGATTCAATACAATGAACCACATAGGTAAGGAGGCTGAATAATTCTAGTAGTTATCACACGATGATGATTCAAAACATTTGTCGCATTCACGAATACTAGATGCTATGGAAGACTACCGAGCTATGTTTGTTTTGAGGGGAGGTAATCGAAAGCGGCGTCTAGAAGACAGTAGTTCAAAATTGTGAGATAAAATATGGGAACTGTCAATTCTAATTTTAGTTGCCTTTTTGACAATCTGGCGCTCATACATAAAGGGAATATACTCGACAGGTATTGTGTGTGGGGTGGGGGTGGGGGTGGGGTGGGGTTTGCGTACAGACAGACCCCATACCATCACAGAAAACTGTAAGTCAACACACTCTGAATTAAAGTTTGATAAAAACGGTCATTATGGTTTTGTCAATAGAAAAGTTTCTTAAGCGGCGAAGAAAATAAAGTCGCTGACGGCCTTTTTTGTAAATGTGAAACTGTGATCGATATGTTTAGAAAACGAAAGTTTTGAATTTAAAATGACGCCGAGATATTTGTAATGGTCCACGAATACAGCCCTGTGGAGCTCCAGTTGAGGTTGAGTGAAAAGTAGATTGACACTGCATGACATACTGAGTTCTATGTTCCATGAATTCTTTAACCCATCTGATAATGTTGCTATGAACACCTTCATAAAACAGTTTACACATCAAAAGGTGTGGCTGGGTGGTATTGAGTGGCGGAAGAAAAATCATTAACGAGGATTCTCACATATAGTTACATGCCTCCAGATGAGAGTATATAATAAACTATTTCGCAGTTCTGAGGGTCAATGTTGCGTTCGTCATACATACCTAATTGATTTCATTATTAATTAATTACGTTTGCCATTTATTACATCCTTTTCACGCAATGTTCAGAATATAATATCAATGGTTATGAGATAGAATTTGCATTCATATTTTAAATTCACGCTCTTCATCGACCCGTAACCGGAGCAAGCCGAATGGGCCCGAGTGTCGCTGAACTCGCTTCTCAGTGCGCAAGTGCGGAAGAAGCACATGACTTCCGAGATAAACAAGAGATTGGTCGTCGTTCAGCTGAAACGATAACACTATCTGATCAGCTGATGTGACACCCACAGTAAAGGTTAGATACCTTCGGGGTTTTTTTTAAATATCTCAACGAGCTGTAAGAGGAAACAAAAATAGCTGACCTGTTATAATCGTGGTGTAACAATGATGATGGCAATGGGAAAGTAGATCGTTTAGTCGCTCACTTTAGATTCGTTAATAAACAGGATACCATTGGGCGTCGGAGAAGGTGTTGGTCTCTACTCTTGCTTGCTATGTCAGCGATCGTCTTTTTTTTCTTTTTGAAGATTCAAATGGTCAGTAAAAGGTGACGAATCGGTTTTCCTCGCATCATATTGATATGCTTGTAAACATATGACCCTACAGAAAATGTTAATTTGTTCTAACTGCAACGAAAAAATTCAGCATAAACCGCTGCAGATAAACTTGGAGAATCTTTCTCTCCTCCGATACGGGCTGTGACAGAACATGAGTACCGTACTGCCGTAAGCTTAAGGGTTGTGCATAGGTGGAATAGATTCTGTTTTCAGGGACTCAACTACAACAGTACAAGACGCTAGGAAGAAAAACACTTTTTGACTAAGACATATAACTCGTTATATGATTATAACCGGACACAGTGTCACTGGTGGAGGGCTGATGAAAAACATGAGAAACATGAAGTGGGTTTTACATTCCAGCACATATATTGATAAGGTTGAAAGAAAAAATATACTGAAAGATACACATAAAGATCCTGGTGTGAAACACAAAGTGATCTCAAGTTCTCAAAGGTCAACCAATAAAGGGAAACAACACAGCTTAAAAGGGTGAACATTGTATCATTCACAATAAAAGGTCAAAAGTATCCCTTCAGAGATTTCAGGTACAGCAACAGGTGATAACAAACTTGGTAATGAAAATATAACAGTTGAAGTATGTTGTCACCAAACATCATAATTTGCCAATTTAAATTGTATTTTCTGTTCTGATAGGCATTGTTTTGTACACAGATATTAAGATTACTGTGTGCATATTCTCATAAACTAAGCCAGAAACTAGCAATCAACGATACACACATTTTCAACAAATCTACAAGTGATTCAGTTCAAACTAATCCTAAGATGCCTAGCGGTTAGAACAATCAAATAAAAAATACATTATCAATATCAGACAATAAAGGTATAGTTTTTTGATGACGTAACAATTGAATGACATCATCCCGTCACTGCGCCATTCTAGTGTGCCACCTCGTCATCGAACCATTTTGCATTACGTCACAATGTAAGCAACGTCTCGTAAGGCCTCCTACAGTAAACTACTCTGTTGCTTCCCGTTTCTTGGTTTGCAGTTGCTTCACACAGCTAGCATCACTGGTGAAAACGTTACGTTTATGTTTTACGACGGTTAAAATGTGTCAATTCGATCACAAGTTTTCAACGACACGGTAACGTTTGCAATGTTTACATTTCCACAATGCAATCGTGGAATGTCGCTTGACTACTCAGCTTCATCTGGATGTACTGATCTAAACTTACGTTGGTAGTAGAAATGCGACGTTCATGTTGCCCCATATGTTTTACGTTAAAGTTATTTTATGTTTGATGTCATTGTAACAATCTTATGTTTTAAAATATAGATAGCATTTTGGGATTTTATAACCCATGTTAGTTTTTCAAATGACCATGTGAGTTTGTGTTGGGTGTTTCACTTCAGTGTTTTAATAACTGGTCAGATAGCACACATGAAATCTCTGTTCAATCTGTCCATGGTTTTCTGAAAAAAATCCATTCAGTTAGATAACAATGAGCAATCAATTAACATATTATTGTCTTTTACTTTGAACAGTGCTTGTATTTACATAAGCACCTGTACAAATGGGTATTTTCCATCTGCTTTAGTGAAGCTTTTTATAAGAACATTTTCCTTTGAAAAATCCATTGTGAAAGGTAACAGTGATTTTAAAATGAATGAATGTAGTATGATGATGTATGCAATGATGAATATGATGATGTTTTTTGCAACTCCACTGACCATTTCTCTCCTGCTTCACTGCTACATGCATATTCTAGAATATACATTCATCACATCAGACCTGGATTTATCATAACCCAATCTTTGATTAAACAATTAACATGCACCAGGCACAGGAAATGTCTAATGCACACCATTGGTGTGCTTTGGTGTTAGTGTTTTGTAGCTTTGCAAGCAAGCAAGCAAACCAAGCAATATGCAATGATGAATAAAATAAATGTCATTAATTTGCATGACTTTGGGAAAACCTGGGTATTCAAGTCTTTTCCCTCCATCACATGCCCATCAAAATGGTTTTCATCCCTCTCAAAGTTTGTTATCATTGTTATCATGCTTATGTGCACTGAAACCACTTCACACATTGCATCAACGTGGGGAATCGAACCTGGATCTTCCGCATGACGAGTGAATGGTTCGGCCAATATGCTACCCCACAGCCCTCTTTAGAAAAGTGAGTGCGTTTAGTTTTACGCAGCACTCAGAAATATTCCAGCCATATGGCAGCAGTCTGTAAATAATCAAGTCTGGACCACACAATCCAGTGATCAACAGCATGAGCATCGATCTAAGCAGTTGGGGTACGATGGCATGTGTCTACCTAAACCGGGTCCCGTTAGTTCATTTAGAAAAGACGTGCAGGGGATCACATGAATAAATATTCTCTAAGTATAACACACACAACAAACCAGTGCACAGTCGGTGTAGAATGTTGAGTTGTTATACTTACGATCCATCTGTCATTTGTCCTTGACAATACTGTTTTAGAATAGAATCAAATTTGGCACTGCTGCATCAACTATTTTGCTGCTCTATTATCTCATTACCATAGAAAAGGATCCGATATTTCACATATATGCCTGACTTCTACTTCTGTAATTCATTAGAACAGAGTGTTCAGCACCTTGAGCATGCACTAGTTGCCAGGATATGTGCGCTATATAAATATCCTATAATAATAAAGTCGCAGTACCTGTTATAGGCCTATTGCTTAGTTTTCAAAGGTGGTGGGATAGGTAAGGCCTAAAAAAAAATGTTGTGGTTCCGATTACCTGACCGACCCTTGAATTCTGGTGCCGACCCTAGTTCTTTTAAGAGGTATGAATAAAATAAGCTTTCAGATACCATTGTTTTTGTCCGGCACCAATGGACATGGGTCATTCTGATAGAGAAAGTCGACAAGATGGCCACAAGCTTGTTTGAATGAATAAGTAAACATTGATAACTGTGTTATTAGTTCATACTTTACTTTTAAAAAAATGTAAAAAAAAAGAATTCCTACCTACCTACCTAAATTCTAAAGACGTGTAATCGGAACAACAACATTTTTTTTATTTGGCCTAAGCAGTTCAAGTGCTAACCTGTGACACTGAAAACTGAGTTCAGTGCAAATGAATTAAAAGATAAAACCGGGTATTTCTTTTCACATTTGCATTTAAGATTTGCTTTTCAAGTTTATTATGGGGTTGTTGTTTTATTTTACCTTAAGCATGTTAATGGCATAATGACTAGGGTACTTTGGATTAGGTTTAGGTTTGACAATATTTCTTAACTTGTCAGTTCAAGGAGTCATAAGTTTGATTAGTGAAAAACTGTACATGTGTGATCAGAAAACCCTTATCATCATAATGAAATAAATGCTAAGTTATGTCATATTTAGAAATTGGACATATTGGTTTTGTATTTTCAGGGAGTTGATCATCTCAGTTTGCAGCCATGAAATACAAGAAACTTGAGGACGAGCATGATGACCACGAGAGGAAGCCAGCTACTGGGTTCACTCTCCGTGACCGTGCTGAGATTTGTGTGGTGCTCCTGATAGTCGCTGGGGGATTTATCCTCACCATGCATTTCACTTCACCCCCATTCTGCCACTCACACCTCACCAACTCCACCTGGTGGACAAACACTGGTTTTGGCTGGACCAAACCGCATACCTCTGCTTTTGACCAGTTTACTCAGGATGACTTGGACACAAGCTTTGATGATGTCCGTGAGAATGAAGGTAAAGGCGATTCATTAGAATCTAACCCATACCATGTTCAGTCTCTTGTTGCGAAGATTCAAAATGAAAGAAATATTCTGTTCGTGGAAGAAAAAAATCCTGACTTTAAGGTCACTGGGGAGCATGTTGGAGTTGACAATATTGTTGCTGATATACAGGGAGACGTGGAAACAATTCTTCACAGTAAATTTATGAAAACTATAGAAGAGGATGCCTCTACATCCACAAAACAGTGTGACATTCTCCCTGAAAATCAGAGATTTGACTGCCATCCTGAACAGTCTACCTCAGCAGCTTCCTGTGCTGCTCGGGGATGTTGCTGGGGGAGGGCTGATGGTAGTCATGGAAACAGTTCTTCATCAGGTGTCACGATGAGTGTTCCTGACTGTTATTATCCACGGAACTATGATGGGTACAACGTCATCGACCAAAACATGGAATCACCATCACAGATGAAGGTAACGCTGAAGAGAACCACTCCCACATACTACCCGAGGGATGTGGCGGAACTGAAGATGGAAATCAGCTATGAAACACAATATAGACTGCGTATCAAGGTAAGATATTCCTTGGAGCAGGCTGAAAAAATACTCAACAGTTGTGAACCATGGCACGTTTTTATAGGAAACATTTTTCAATAACTTTAAAATTGTTTTCAATGGTTTTTCACATTTAACAATGTTTAATATATCTAAGTCTAGATGAGACCCAGAGCCTTTGACTTGAACTTCTTACCATATCTTTGAGTTCTGGTAGCTCATTAATCAGGGTAACCACTTAAATCTCACATATCTGTTCAGAGAAGACTTGTACAGTAAGTAAAACTTAAACAGTTAAAGAAAAATCAACTTTAGTATGATCAAAATAGACTTTTTAGAAATATATGGATGTAAGGTGTTCCCAACTGTTTCCCATATTCTGATGTTCCTACCATTAGATTAGTGATCCTGCAGAGGCTAGATGGGAGGTACCGATGCCGAGACCGAAGTCGGTGCCCAGAGAGAACATAGACAATAACATGTACAGCGTCCAGGTTCCAGGAGAGAACCAGCCGTTCCACCTGACCGTCACTAGGAAGAGTAGTAACACACCCCTGTATGTTGATATTATGTAGCTAACATTCTCTCTCCAGTACATAATTTTACTTGATCATGTTGATAAAACAGAAATCTCATTTGATATTCAGTATTCAGATTGAGGAAGGGCCTGTGTTCTTTGAGGATGTTGCCCGTGGTATTTGAATCTGGGAACCCCTTAATATGTAATTTCTGATATTAGGACCACTATCATTTCTAGTTTCATTACAGACTGTACTTACTGTTGTTAAAGTGAAATATATAGATAATATATCAATCATGATACTCAGCACACTTGGGCAGTACTCCACATATTCCATATTCATGTCATTAGTGAACATTTTTGATAATCCGAGTCGTTTCACAAGGAACTATGAAATTTGTTTTGAAAATATTCCACTATCACCAGAAGTTCAGTTTTCTCATCCTTCCCTAATATATCTCTAATGCTGCCAACATTTGATCTCTCCCTTCTCCCTGCTAGGATTAACACCACTGGAGCGTTCATGTTCACTGACCAGTTCCTCCAGCTGTCCTACTTCTTGCCATCCACGTTCATCTACGGGCTCGGTGAACACCGCGACACCCTGATGCACAGTGTCAACTGGACCAACTTTGTCTTCTGGAACAAAGACCAGCCTCCAGATGTAAGACTCTCCACATTGAAAGAATCTTAACTCTATCTGTCCTTCATGTAGTAGGTGCAAGCTGCTTACTGTTCACAGGGTCATGTACTGAATGAACCTTCCTGAATGTTAATATGTCGTCTGCTTTCACAATAATGTGTTTGTTTCACTTAGACCAGTGAATTGGGTTTAATTTCAGAGTTATTTTGAATGTCAAGTTTGAGTGTGACATGTTCAAATGAAAATTCGCCATTTGTAAACATGCTATTGATTTATGTTCATATTTATCTAATCATATTTTTAGAAGATACAATACTATTACTAATGATGCAAATAGATACAGTTGTGACATCACATGATATACTACAACCTCCTAATATCCAGGATATTTGCACAGGTCACCAGCAGATAGCAGGTGCTTGTTCAGTCAAATGGTTTGTGATGTGGTTAGGTGTAACTACATTATGGTGTAACATTGTATCCTGATACCAGGCCCACTATTTTCAACACAGAGATTGTCAACCCCTATATCATGCTTATTCATTAGTTTTTTCTGGTTGGCTATAATTCATAACATTCACAGTTCCCTCTAACCCATGTGTTTCTGTATCCCATAACTTTGAAATTTAAAAACAAATGATGCAGGGTAGTGACTGCAAAAAGAAAATAAATTTCTGGTACCTAGGTTCATCACAGTATAAGAAAGGTCCAAGTCAGGTTTGGTGACCTTGACCTTCATTTCAAGGTCACAAGGGGACTTTAACGTTTTACCTGCATGTTAAGCTATTCTATACCAAGCTTTGTCTAGGGAAGGGCCAGGGCCCAGTCGATTGTGGTGACCTTCACATAATTTTCAAGGTCATGGCGACACTGTGAAGATTTCAGTATGTTAGCCTGCATGTTAAGCTATCTCAAGAACCATTCACTGTATTTTCTTCATATACAACACCAAGCTTTATCTAGGGAAGGCGCAGGGCCCAGTCAATTTTGGTGACCTTCACATAATTTTCAAGGTCACAGAGACACTTTGAAGATTTCAGCATATTGACCTGCATGTTATGCTTGTCAGCGAGATACCCCAAGAACCTTTCACAGGAGGTTTTTCATATTTGACACCAAGCTTCATCCAGGGAAGGCACAGGGCCCAGTCGATTTTGGTGACCTTCACTTAATTTTCAAGGTCAAAGAGACACTTTGAAGATTTCAGCATGTTAACCTGAATTGTCAGCAAGATATTTCAAAAACGGTTCACTGGATTTTCTTCATAGACTTTCAAGACTTCCCTTGAATGTTTTTCAATAAGCAATTTCTTTAGTACTATTTGTGCATATTTCATACACTATGACATTCATGTCAAGGTCAAAGTCAGTCTTGAAACATGTGTGTGTTTGAACAACTAAAGAGCAAGATATCAAGAGAGGTTGACTGGTCATGTTTTTGTTGACATTTAACTTCATCTTAAACTTTCATTACTTTATAAGTTTGATTTGATAATTTGCGGCAGGGGATTATGTCACATTAGTGACAATGCTTGTTCTCTCTACAGGAGGACACCAACCTGTATGGGTCCCACCCCTTCTACCTGATGATGGAGAATGATACCAACAGCCATGGAGTCCTACTGCTCAACAGCAATGCTATGGGTCTGTAACAACACACAAACATTGACGTTATTGACATAAACATTTAGTGGAGACATGGTAGTGCACTGATTGTTCCATGTACTATATGAGTCGACTGTATGGGTCTTTCAGCATCCAGAATCCTAGATTCACTCGTCATTTAGGGCCCTTGTTTAGTCATCAGGATACCAAATGATTAGATATGATTGTAGGTTGAACAACCATCACCATAGCTTCCCTCTCACAGGCTGAAATGATATGACATGAGTAAACTGTGACTCAGATACTGTTCAGGACCAGGGCCGGTGGGGTAGCCTAGTGGTTAAAGCGTTCACTCATCACGCCGAATACCTGGTTTCGATTCCCCACATTGATACAATGTGTGAAGCCCATTTCTTATGTCTCCTGCCGTGGTATTGCTGGAATATTGCTAAAAGCGGTGTAAAACCATACTCACTCACTCACTGTTTAGGACCAGGTTATACACAGCACATTCACTCCCTGTCATTTTTCCTGATTTCTGTGATCATTAGGGGCATTGATGAGAGCACCAAAAGATGGGTCTGTATCCTCATTGTGTGATACTGTCATGCTAATTGCTCTGTTCCTCTGCTTGTTGCAATCCTTCTCAAACTGTGTGTGAAACATGTCAGAAAGCACATGTAAAATCACCTTCTCAAATACGACTGTTTGGATGATCTTTTACTCTTGAGAATGATAATACATGTAACTGACAAGATTTGTGTAGACTCATGACTGAATTGATTCCAGGGACATAGTACTAACTCAATCAGTTAAAACTCCTTCGTGGGCATTACCATGATTACTATGGCAGCAAAAAGTGACTTCTGGAAAATGTTCTATACCTGTATTATGTGGTTAAGACATTTGTATAAACAAAAGGAATGCATCATTGAATGTGTATATCTTTAGGGCTTTCTTGGTTGCATTTTCCTTTGAAACTAATTCTAGCTCTCAACACAAATATTCAGTGATTGCTTGAGAATTGCATGTTCAGTTTAAACCATGTGGTTATGAAGAAATACATGATATTTTAGTTTTTCTAGAATTTGAATTGTATTAATCTCATTCACGATTTAACCAGAGGCGGTCCTACAGCCCAGCCCAGCCATCACATGGAGAACAATAGGCGGAGTTCTGGACTTCTACATCTTCCTTGGTCCATCACCTGCAGACGTTGTCAGTCAGTACACAGAGATGATTGGTCGGTCATTCATGCCTCCGTACTGGAGTATGGGATACCATCAGTGTCGGTGGGGCTACACCACGGCACAGAAAACCCAGGACATTGCCAATAAACTCACCAAGGCTGGCATGCCGCAGGTATGAGTTGTAATTAGTTGCAGATTACACATCCAAGTAGTATTACATTTGGCATGTTAGTTTTAAATGTCATATTTTGTGCATTTGAGGATGTTTTTAGTAAATCTGATCAATGGTTATGTCCCTCATACTATTCTTTACTACATGTCAACATTATTTTCTCTTTGTAAGCCGTGAATATCCGGTTAGAATTGATCTTCAGTAACCCATGCTTGTCGTAAGAAGCGACTAACGAGATCGGGTGGTCAGGCTCGCTGATTTGGTTTACACATGTCATCGGTTCCCAATTGCGCAGATCGATGCTCATGCTGTTGATCACTGGATTGTCTGGTCCAGACTTGATTATTTACAGACCGCCGCCATATAGCTGGATTATTGCTGAGTGCGGCATAAAACTCACTCCCTCTCTCACTTCTCATTGTAAATCATTGGTATCAATCAAAGTAGGACAATGATTGGCCACAAGAGACTCATCTGCAACCACTTTGAAACTGAAAATTACCTCCCTTACACTGTGCAGCTTTCAATAGGATTATTGATAATATAGTCTTAATAAATGTGGTGATTCTTCCAGGTATGTTCTGCTTGTAATCTTTTACCTGGTTATTGAATGCTAGGGAAGCCTTCAGTTTAAGCACTGGTGTTTCATGTCAGTGGTCTGAAATTGATTACCTACACAGGTGCAATGAAGCCCACATCTGGTGTCCCCCACCCAGTGTTTGCCCTTAACCCTGAAAAGCTGCAGGCCCTGAGGACCCAGAACCATAAAAAGTTGTGGGTCCGGATCAGAATGTATAGGCTCTATATTTTATAATGGAAATAATACTCTCAGTTACTAAGGGATGAAAGATCCGTCGGCCATGAGGACCGACAAAACAAAAGCTGTGGGTCCAAATGGTTTTCAGTCGGCTTCGGGCCTAAGGACCGATGTTAATTTCAAACGCTTCCCCGACAATAACATTGATAGGCTTTTGCAAAGGAGCCAAACCTGAATTCACTCACTCCTTGTTTGTTGCCAGGATATTCAGTGGAACGACGCTGACTACATGGACGGCATGAAAGACTTCACAACATCACCCAAGTTCGGAGACCAGAAGGGTTTGGTAGACACACTGCACTCCCAGGGCAAACACTACATGATGATTGTGGTAGGACCTCATACTGTAATAGAAACATATACATAAAGTAATAGAAACTCATTAACAATGACAAACAGAAAAAATGAACTGACCGCCTCCGTGGTGTAGTGGTTAGAGCGTCCGCCCGGAGAGAGCGGAAGGTCGCGGGTTCGATCCCCGACCGAGTCATACCAAATAGACGTTAAAATATGGTACTTGTTGGTCCCTGCCTGGCGCTCGGCATTAATGGGTACAACAAGGACTGGTCGGCTCGGAGTCAGTATAATGTGACTGAGTGGGGTATTCATTCTTCACTGCAGCATGGTATCTCAGTGGGCTAGCACTATAAAACCAGCTTAAGTCTGGGCTAGTACAAGCAGCCGCACATACACATACATGTGCATGCACATCGTCATATGAGCGAAATATTCTCAAGAACGACGTAAAACCCAATTTCACCTCACCTCACCTTAGTAGGACTGCGCACTATAACCGGTTTACCGGTATTAGCCGGTTCAGACATGAAAACAATACATTTTGCGGTACGCTGATCGAAAACCGGTATTTTGAAAACTTCGTAACCTTGATGATCGTGGCAGCTGTGGTAATGGTGGTGGAATGATCATGGTGAAAATTACATTTAACTGAGAAAGGCAAGATTTATGGATGTCAACTTCTATATTGTGAATGAAGTTGACATCCATAAATCTTGCTTTTCTTATGCATTTCACTTCTAAAGACCCTTCAAAGATTTTACATTTAACTGGATTGTTAAGTTCAGTTCTGTTTGTGTTCTTAATTTTTGTTCAAGTGTTTCGCAATGTTTTGGATCTGAATGTTTTAAATATTTACTCATTTATGACCAATGATCCCTGATATGTCCTGACCAGGTCAAGTTGCTGTCTGAAATCTCAGGGCTGTTTCGAAAGAGGAGAAACTAGTTCAAACTAGTAACCACTCTGTTGATGTTAAATTGTTATTATGGTATCTGACATATAGGATTCCTTCGTGCCATTGTACTTAGTGATCTAGGTGCTAAGATGACTGTATCTGTAATTATGGTATCTGACATATAGGATTCCTTCGTGCCATTGTACTAAGTGATCTAGGTGCTAAGATGACTGTATCTGTAATTATGGTTTCAGACATGTAGGATTCCTTCGTGCCATTGTACTAAGTGATCTATGTGCTAAGATGACTGTATCTGTAATTATGGTATCTGACATGTAGGATTCCTTCGTGCCATTGTACTAAGTGATCTAGGTGCTAAGATGACTGTATCTGTAATTATGGTATCTGACATGTAGGATTCCTTCGTGCCATTGTACTAAGTGATCTAGGTGCTAAGATGACTGTATCTGTAATTATGGTATCTGACATGTAGGTTCCTCGTGCCATTGTACTAAGTGATCTATGTGCTAAGATGACTGTATCTGTAATTATGGTATCTGACATGTAGGATTCCTTCGTGCCATTGTACTAAGTGATCTAGGTGCTAAGATGACTGTAACTCCCATACCTTAACATGGTCCTATGACAGTCCTCGTGTAATGTTGCTGTGTACAGTGGCACCTGAACATTGTGTTTCCAGGACCCTGGTATAAGCAGCACCCAGAAGCCAGGCAGTTACCATCCCTATGACCTGGGACTCTCCATGAACATCTTCATCAACAACACCGACGATAAACCACTTGTAGGAAGAGTGAGTACAGCAGTCTCACTATAGTGATTATGTATGTTGCTTGGGTAGCCGGGTGGTTAACATGTTCGCTCTTTATGCAGAAGACTGGTTTGATTCCCTGCATGGGTACAATGTGTGAAGCCCATATCTGGCCCCGATTTCTCGAAACAAACTTAAGTCTGAGTTTCGACTTAAGTTAGAGTTTTTGCTCAAATTTGAGAAAATGCATTTCCCAGAATGAACTAAAATCGATATTAAACTCAAACATAGTGGACAATTTGAGTTTGGTGGATAGATTACTTAAGTTGTTTGGGCATTTTTATTTAAAACATGCAGTTGAGTTAAAAATTCATCTGTTTCAAATTGTCCAACTCAGTTTGAAATTTGAGTAAAAACTTAAGTTTGTTTCGAGAAATCGGGGCCTGGTCTCCCCAGCTGTAATATTGCTGGTATATTGCTAAAAGTGATGTAAAACTCACTCACTAACTCTCATGTAGGTGTGGCCTGGTCCGACAGTGTTTCCCGACTTCACCAACCCACAGGCTGTAGAGTACTGGACCACTCTGGTGAAAACATTCCAGGATTCAGTGAAGTTCGATGGCATGTGGATTGTAAGTGAACAATATCATGCTGTTGGTTTTGTCACTGGTATTTATTTACCAAATAATATTGAATTCAGTGATAGTGAACTGATAAAATAAACTGAATAAAAAATTATGAAATAACATATTTGGATAACTAAGCATGCCAAATAAGTTTGGTCATTGTTATGTTTGATGTGTGATAATGTTAAACACTTTCTGAAGATTTTTGTACACATATTATTTAAGAAATACAGTTCGCTCTACCACCATGTAAAGTGTAATAAAGCACACTTTCGCCCTGAACTATTATAGTTAAAGCACGAGGACGCTTGCGTTAATTCTACTACCAATGTAAGTTTAGATCAGTACATCTAGATGAAGCTGCCTTGTCAAGCGACATTCCACAGTTGCATTGTGGGAATGTAAACATTGCAAACGTTACCGTGTGGCTGTAAAATTGTGAGTCGAACTGAGACATTTTATCCATCGGAAAACATAAACGTAATGTTTCCACCAGTGAGGTTAGCTTAGTGAAGCAACTGCAGAAAAAGAAACGGGATGCAACAGAGTAGGTTACTGTAGGAGGCTGTACGAGCCACTGACAACTGACATGCATCGTGACGTCGGTTACATTGTGACATAATGCAAAGTGTTCGATTACGAGGGGGCAGACAAGAATGGCGCAATGACGCCAATACATTGTGATGTAATGCAAAAAGTGCACATTATCGTCTGATAAAGTACTGTCGGCGCCTTTGATCTTTCACCGAAGCATCTTAGAAAACAGACTAATTGGCTACCTCAGTCATTGTCATTCCAACTTCATATCTACAGGACATGAATGAGATCAGCAACTTTGTAGACGGATCTACAACAGGCTGTTCATCGACAGACAGATATGAAAACCCTCCTTACCTGCCAGGTCAGTTTACTGCACAGTCAACTTCACTCTGTCTTAGATTGTAAAAATATGTCATGGATGGTATTGCTTTAACTTGGCAGTGTATTAATAATAAGATGTCCATGTCTATCATAATTTTGACTGATCATGAAGAGTCCACTTAATATCTGTCAATATTTACAACATGACCTTGGCCTTTTATTTCAGGAGTTAAAGGTGGTTCGCTGAAGTCTACTACCATCTGTGCTTCGGGGAAGCAGTATCTGTCCCGCACCTACAATGTCCACAACCTATATGGACTGGGGGAAAGTTATGCTACGAACATGTATGTATCTACGTCTATCACATGACAAAGTTTATAACATGGGTGAGTGAGTGAGTTTAGTTTTACGCTGCACTCAGCAATATTCCAGCTATATGGCGGCGGTCTGTAAATAATCGAGTCTGGACCAGACAATCCAGTGATCAACAGCATGAGCATCGATCTGCGCAATTGGGAACCGATGACATGTGTCAACCAAGTCAGCCAGCCTGACCACCCGATCCCGTTAGTCGCCTCTTAGGACAAGCATGGATTACTGAAGATCAATATTCTAACCTGGACCTTCACGGGTCGCTTATAACATGGATCCAGGAAAATGGTTCTTGGGGCTTGAAAAATATGACAATCAATTTTCCACTAAATATAGAGTATCGGGTGTGATAGATGGTTCTTATTGGACCCAGAAAATATTTTAATGAACATGATGAATTTTACCCAGTTTAATTCAGTCTACAGTGCAGCCAATTTGTCTCAACCATATCAGTCCGTAATTCAATTTTTGTTTTGGACATCAAACCTTTTTAACCTCTTCAAAGTTCACTGTAAGTTTGCCTGCTTGGTGTATAGGTGTATGTTGATAAGTGTCTGCCAAGAGAGCTGGAGATTGGTGATTTGATCCCCCTGCCACATAATATCTAGATACAGTACAAGATGGTACTTGTTGCACCCTGCCTGGTGCTCGCCATTAAGGAAGTAAAACAAAGACTGGATCCAGTCGGCTAGCACTTTAGACAAGCCTTAAACCTGACAAGTACATGCATCCATACACATACGGGCATGTTGCTATATCATGTATATGAGTGCAACAATCTCAAACTTTAAAACCCCATTTCTCCTTGCCCAATATGTGGAATGTCTATTTCAGAGCTCTCCGGGCAGCCAGGCCTGGAAAGAGGCCGTTTATAATATCCCGGTCTACCTTTCCCGGTCAGGGTCATTATGGGGGTCACTGGACCGGGGACAATGATGCCCAGTACTATGACATGTACAAGTCTATCTCAGGTGAGTGGGGAGTTAATGGCTGTTTGTTAACCAAGACCGGTGTTTACTAACCTGGATACTCTGTTGTGGGAGAAAGATGAATTTTACAGCAGTCATTTCACATCATCTAAAATGACAGGGCTAAAATTATTAGTAATCTGTGAACAAACTACACCTGTTTCAGGTGCAATGTGTAAACTATAGGTAATCTAGTTCCTATCTATTTTAACAATGAATAACATATTTTCTGTGATATATGTACCTGAGCAATTGCAATAATTACAATCAGTGTTTCTGTTTTGCACATTTACGGAATGATTTGAAAGATCAGATGATTTGGTCACTCATACTTAAATGAACTTCAAAGTTAAAAATATAGACCTTGATTGGATTGTTCCAAGAAGCTAAGGGAGCATGTTCACATTTCAGATATCCTAAGTTTTAACATGTTTGGGATACCCATGGTGGGTTCAGACATTTGTGGGTTCAGACATGCTACAAATGAGGCACTGTGTCAATACAGCCGCCGGCATGCGCCAGCGTGGACCGGTGGCATGGATATGGAAAAGGAAACACCCGCCCAGGCATGCGACCACATCGCCAAGGCATACAGCTGCCAGGCATGGAGCCGCGACCAGCGTGAGGCATAGTGGAATGGGGCATAGTGGAGGCCATACAGCGGGTATCAGCGTGGACCGAGCTGCCGCATAGCCGACACAGCGTGGACCACACCCGCCGGTAGCATGCGACGACACCGACGCGACCCGGCATAGAGCCATGCGGACAAGACACAGCTGCCATGGACACAGCCGGCATAACAGCGTGGACACAGGCCAGGAAGGCATGAGGAAGGCATGAGCCAAAGGTGGAAGAACCAGCACACAGTGAGGTACACAAGGAAAGGGTGGTATAAGAAGGTTGGAAGCAGTGGACATCCCAGGACCCACAAAACATAGTGAATGGACACAAGACAAAGACCCATGGAATGAACACACAAAATATGAAAATGAAACATTGACCTGTATTTTCAGGACCAAAGACCCAACCGCCTTCAGTGAGTCCCTGCTGAACTCCACTGGAGTGCAGTATACCTTATACGCTACTCCCTCCTGCCTTATCTCTACACACTGTTCTTCAAGAGCCCACATTATGGGAGAAACAGTAGCCAGGCCAGTTCCTTCATGGAGTAAGTTACAAATATGCTATCTGTATAAATACGTTAAGCCTCCTCTGACATGCTGTTGTCTCTGGTTGTCATTCTTACAATTGGCTTGTTAGTACCCAGAGTCAAGATGCCATACTTGTCAGAATTAGGTGTCAGGTAATTAATGTGATCATGTGGTCAGGCTTCCAGACTTGGTGCATGTATTCCTACTTTTAAATACACAAATGATTGTGGTGTCAATCACTGGATTGTATGGTCTAGACCCATTTAATGATATGCAAACCTCCACAATTCAGGCTGAAATATTTTTGACTGATGAATTAAACTGCTAACACATCTGTAATGCCAGTTGAGTAATTGAGTGATGGTATGTTTACTACCATGAGGGTAGGCTGTGAAGTTGAATGGGAATATGGATGCCTCAACAGGTATATTTTGGTGGATGTAGTAACCTCACCCTTTGTTTCCCAGGTTCCCTGAGGATAAGTCTTCGTACTCTGTTGACAAGCAGTTCATGTGGGGACCAGCTCTCATGATCTCCCCAGCTCTGGAACAGGTAAGATACGAGAGGGATAACTGGAGATCCCATCATGTGTCATTGGGCTCATTTTGAGTCACCATTAAGTTGGTAAATTTTATGCCACACTTACCATTATTCTTGCTACTATCAAGGGCAGCTTGTATCAGCATGAGACTATTTCCAAGCTTTATTATTTACTGTTTCAATAAACATATGAAAATACACATATGTAGCAGGGTGTGGAGTGCTTGTCAGCTTGCTAACAGTAACTTTGTACATGGGGACACAGTGCCTGAATGTCCATGGTTTACATCCCATCAGGAATTGCATGTCCTCTACCTTCCTAAAAAGTCTATGAAACCAGAAGGGGTCTCTGTAGTGTAGGGTACTTCAGTAATCTGTCTGGAGTCATAATTCAGAAATATAGCCTCACCAGCTAAACTGGACCAGTGCTAAATGACCAACAGAACCAAACTTGATGTGGTATCTGCTAATCATGGTGCCCTACACAGACCTTTGCCGCTTTTACTACTTGAATCCTCTTTTCCCTCATCCATAGTGCTGTTAAGTGTAGATTGCCTTGAATTGTTATGGTTAAATTACAAGTATGCATTATCTAAAGTGCCATGCAGAAACAGATTTCATTTATTCATGAGTTTTCTAAACATTCTACATTGTGGATAATATTTCATGCTGTTAGTCCTTTGTAAGTTCATAGTTCTCTTCTGTGGACTGGCCTCGCTGGTTAGTAGTTAGAGCATCCGCGACGAGAGAGGAAGGTCGGCTCCATTCCATCGGGCATCTAAATCAAAAAGATGCTGGCACAAAGCATTACGGCAGCCAACAAGGACTGGTCTGCCCAGAGTCAGTATAATGTGTCTAAGAGAGGAATTCATGTTTCACTTTCAAGGCATGGTATCTCAGTGAGCTACTCACTATAAACCAGCTTAAGTCTGGGCTAGTAGCCACCAGCCGCACATACACACACATGCACGCCATCATATACATGAGCAAAATTTTCTTAAGTACGCATGTTAAACCCCATTTTTGCTCACCTCACCTTTCTGTGGGCTCATTTTGCCACTATCTCGATGTTCCTGATCCTTTCTCACGCCTCCTTGAGTTCATGTCGTCACTCTCTCTCCTTGATATTTTTCAGAATGTGACCAGCGTGCTCGCATACTCTCTGCCCACATGGTTCTACTTCTCTAATGGGAGGCGGATGACTGACACTGGCGGGCACCTTTCATCCCTCCCTCAAGACCCACATGAACTTCATCAACCCCAACTTCAGGGGTGGCTACATCATCCCAATGCAGGAGTGCTCAGCTCTCAACAACAACAACACAGAGGTATTAGTTTTGTTACGATTCTCAACTTAATTAGATTAGTGGAGGCGGAGCTTGGAATAATTATTATGGTGAGATCGGAAAGGATGCTCCTTCAAAAAGCATTTATATGCACTGACTTGATTGATGCAGTGTGTGGGGCTCCATTAGCTATTCTCTAAACATTTGTATCCCCATGAACTTCTTTAAGCCCATTATTAACACAATGGCTACATTATCAAAGTACACGGTAATTCTTTTGGGCTATGAACGCTTTGGAGAATAAGTGGCCCTGGAGTCTAAAAGTACTGTAATTGTTCTGTGTGTAGGTTCATCCCTGAGTCTAGTAAAGATGTTCTACTATAGGTTTGAATTCATGATACCCCATCTTCAGTTGTTTTTCCAGGTGCTATAATGTGATATCACATCTAATATTTTTGTGTGTAAACCTTACTTGTATTGTTTTGATTTTCTTTCACAGCTCTAAAGAATAACTCTCTGGTTGGTAAGTAAAGTAATGCCCTCGCAACCAGTTTGCCAAGGGTGAGCTGTACCGGGACGCATGGAGACTCTGTGGGTAGGTCACATCTCTCCTGGGCTGGAGTCTGTTAGGGCTGGGGTGTGTTAGGATGTCTGTAAAGCCGCCATGAGCATGGTATGCATGGGATGGACTACAGGGCTATATAAGTACGCCCCGCTGCATATGCTTTCACTCATTACATATCATAGGGGCAGGAGGCGCAAACACCCGCTTGTAGGCGCAGGGAGGGGACACACCGCCGCTGGCGGTGGGGGCAGGGAAGGGCATAACAGCCGCTGATAGGTGCAGGAGGGCCATACAGCCGGGCTGGTAGGGCAGGAGGCATACCGCCGCTGGTGGGGCAGGGGACTGGCATAGAGCCGCTGAGGCGGGGCATACAGCCGCTGGAGGGCAGGAGGTGACAGAGCCGCCGGCAGGGGCAGGGGATACATGGCCAGCCGCTGGTAGGGCAGGAAGGGCACAGCCAGCTGGTAGGTGGGACATGCCACGCCGGGCCAGCCGCCGGTGGTGGTGCAGGGGAAGGGCATACCTGCTGCTGGTAGGGCAGGGAGGTGCAACCCGCTTGTAGGCAGGGAGAGGGCACAGCTGCTGGTGGATGCAGGGCATACAGCTGCTGATAGGTGCAGGGGAGGCGCCACTGGGTTGCTGGTAGGGTCAGGATGAGACACATACAGCCGCTGGTAGGTGCAGGGGCATCGCCGGCAGCGGCTGGCGAGCACCACACAGCCGCCGGCAGGCGCAGGAGGCCACACCGACGCCGGCAGCGGCGGTGGCCGCCACGGCCAGCCGCCGGCAGCGATGCCACGCCATCCGCCGGCAGCTGCGATGGGCTGCATCAGCCGGCAGCAGGGGACACAGCCACGCCGGCAGGCAAGGACACACGTCGCCGGCAGCTGCGGACACACACACAGCCGCCGGCAGGGCAGGACACGCCGGCAGGCGCAGCCGCCACAGCCTGGCAGCGCGGAGCCACAGCCGCCGGCCGGCAGAAGTGAGCAATGTCGCCGGAAGCCGCGTAGCCAGCACACAGCCCGCAGCGCGCCACACCGCCGCCGGCCGGGCAGGAGCACACCGTCAGCCAGCCGCCAGGTGGCCGCCAGCTGCCGCCGGCAGGCAACAGGAGCGGGCACACATCCGCCGGCCGGGCAGTGAGGCACACAACAGCCGGTAGGCAGGAGGCACACCGCCGCCTTACTCCAGCAGGGAGAGGCATAGAGCCAAGTAGGGCAGGGAAGGCATAGACAACAGAAGGCACACTGCCAAAAAAGGTGGGGGAAGGGGTATACAACTGAAATAGTGGAAGGGTATGGTGGACACAGCAGTGGTATAAAGGTGGAAAGAAAAATATCTAGGGACAGAAATATAGTATTGTAGATATAAGATAAAGAAAGGAAAGGACATGAAAAATATGGAAGGAAATATTGACTTGATGGACTAGACCTTAACTGAAAGGAGTTCTTGCACTGGAGGGAGACAAGGAGCCCTAAATGGAGAAGAAAGGAGAGGAAATAGGTATTTTAACACAGGAAAGCCTTGTGGATATAAAGAAAGAAATGGAAAGAATGGAATGAAACAGATGAAGATGGATGGACAGGAAAATGGAAGGGGGAATATAATGGATAGGGAAGAATGGATGGTGGAAATGGACGGAGGACATAATGGGGAAGAGTGGATGGAATGAAGAGGGAGGAAGGAAGGGTGAATGGAATAGGAATGGAAGGATAGGATGGAAAGGAATAGGTGAGATCGGACAGGAACAGCCAATAATGGAGGCATGGCCATCTTTTGCTATTATCAAGGGCAGCTTACCAGCATGAGACTATTTCCCAAGCTTTCTTTATTATTTACTGTTTCAATAAACATATGAAAATACACATATGTAGCAGGGTGGAGTGCTTGTCAGTTTGCTAACAGTAACTTTGTACATGGGGACACAGTGCCTGAATGTCCATGGTTTACATCCCATCAGGAATTGCATGTCCTCTACCTTCCTAAAAAGTCTATGAAACCAGAAGGGGTCTCTGTAGTGTAGGGTACTTCAGTAATCTGTCTGGAGTCATAATTCAGAAATATAGCCTCACCAGCTAAACTGGACCAGTGCGTTAAATGACTAACAGAACCAAACTTGATGTGGTATCTGTTGACTATAAAAAATTTACACAGACCTTGCCGCCTTTTACTACTTGAATCCCTTTTCCTCATCCATAGTGCTGTTAAGTGTAGATTGCCTTGAATTGTTATGGTTAAATTACAAGTATGCATTATCTAAAGTGCCATGCAGAAACAGATTTCATTTATTCATGAGTTTCTAAACATTCTACATTGTGGATAATATTTCATGCTGTTAGTCCTTTGTGTTCATGTTGCCTCTCTTCTGTGGGACCGCCTCCGTGGTTTATAGTTAGATATCCGCACGGAGAGTGGAAGGTCGCGGGTTCCATCCCCGCGGGCATCATACGAAAAGATGCTGGCACTCAGCATTAATGGGTACAACAAGGACTGGTCGGCTCAGAGTCAGTATAATGTGTCTAAGAGAGGAATTCATGCTTCACTGCGGCATGGTATCTCAGTGAGCTTTCACTATAAAACCAGCTTAAGTCTGGGCTAGTACAAGCAGCCGCACATACACACACATGCACGTCATCATATGAGCAAAATTTTCTTAAGTACGAGATGTTAAACCCCATTTTGCTCACCTCACCTCTCTTCTGTAGGCTCGGTTTTGCCACTATTCGGATGTCTTGATCCTTTTCACGCTCTCTTGAGTTCATGTCGTCCTCTCTCTCTCTGATATTTTCTCAGAATGTGACCAGTGTGCTTGCATACTTCCCTCGCTCCACATGGTTCTACTTCTCTAATGGGAGGCGGATGACTGACACTGGCGGCACCTTCAACCTCCCCGCACCCATGAACTTCATCAACCTCAACTTCAGGGGTGGCTACATCATCCCAATGCAGGAGCCAGCTCTCACAACAACACAGAGGTATTAGTTTGCTACGTATTCTCAACTTAATTAGATTAGTGATATGGAGCTTTGAATAATACAGGTAGGATTTGAAAGGATGCTCCTTCAAAAGCATTTATATGCACTGACTTGATTGATGCAGTGTGGGGCCTGGCTAGCTATTCTCTAAACATTTGTATCCCTATGAACTTCTTAAGCCCATTATTAACACAATGGCTACGATCAAAGTTACGAATTCTTTGGGCTATGAACGTTTTGAGAATAAGGGCCCTGGAGTCTAAAGTACTGTAATTGTTCTGTGTGTAGGTTCATCCCTGAGCCTAGCAAGGATGTTCTCGTTATAGGTTTGAATTCATGATACCCCATCTTCAGTTGTTTTCAGTGCTATAATGTGATATCACATTCAATATTTTTGTGTAAACCTACTTGTATTGTTTTGATTTTCTTTCACAGTCGAAAGAATAACTTCTGGTTGGTAGTAGCAATGCCCCGCAACCAGTTTGCCAAGGGTGAGCTGTACTGGGACGATGGAGACTCTGTGGGTAGGTCACATCTCTCCTGGGCTGGAGTCTGTTAGGGCTGGGGTGTGTTAGGATGTCTGTAAAGCGCTTTGAGCATGCATGTAGATGGGATGGACTACAGGGCTATATAAATGCCCATGTATATGTTTACTCATTACATATATCATAATCATTGGATAATACTCACCATAGTAGCATTAAATATTTGTGTATTCTCACATTCTTTTTCAGAAGAAGTCCTCCTTGGGGTACATATAAGCATTAAAATGTCCATTTTAAAAGCCTACGACAGTTGTAACAATATTTCAATAAAATATTTTACCAAACAAAAACTCGCTATGTGTGGTGAGACTACCCCCTACAGGGCCCCTCGTGAGGCCCCCTACAGCCAAGAGCAGGTAACTCTGGTTGTGTACCTCAGATTCTCACTTTTCATGCTGTCGCCGGGTCGTAGGTTGCATTGCATGGTCCAAGAAGCTACTTAATAAGAGAGCCGCATGAGTGAGATAGAGTCAAATCCTGTATGTATGGAGGCTCTGTCTCGAGCCTTTGTCCCTCTCTGTAGACCCCTCGATGATCCCTCAGAGCTCTCTGGAAACAGAGACCTCACTCATTGAGGATCGATTCGAGGAGGCTATGGAGGAGGATGAGGGTCGGAGGAGTTGGGCACGCCTTTGGTTTCGCTTTCGGTGCGCCCCTGAGGCAGGTAATGGAGCGTGATTGCTCTGTCCTGCCCCAGGTAGTGGCCAGTACTGGCACCCGACCCTCAGGGAGTTTCGGCCCCCAGGGAGGCTTTTGCTCCCACCAAGGTGGGGACACAAGGCTGCGTGATATTACCCTCAGTCTTGTCTGAAGTAATCAACCCCTCCTCTGTGGTACCAGGTCCAGGTTCGATTTGCCAGAACTTGGACCGTCGGTACCTCATGGGGAGGCTTGTTCTCTACAATCCCCCAGTGGTTGACGACATTGTGCTTACGCATCCGTAAGCCCTGGGGGAGTCGCTCGGGTAATTCTATGGCTTCAGCCAAGCAAGGTCGCCGGCTTCCGCCGTTCACGACTAACGCTACAGCGTTTAAATCCGCCTATCGATCCTTTGAAGAGCAATACCGCAATGCGGTTCAATGCCTCAAAGTGACGATCCATTCCGCCTACATCTCGGTGTTGCAGAGGCAACTACTGGATGTGGGTGGGGTGGAGGAAGATTCGTCTCCCTCCACCTTGGCTAAGCAATTAACGGAGGTACAGTCACATCTGGCGCGCGATTCTATCAGGTCGTCGGCTTGCCAAATGATGTCGGCGGTGATGGGCCTCCGCCGCCTGTGGCTTTCCTCGCGGGCGGTATTATTCGCCTGCCACGCAACAGGCTCTGCTGGCGCTGCCATTCGGGATGGGTTCTACCCTGTTCCCCGGGCAGCTACAGTAGTCCGGAGGAGGCTGGAGGCTGTCTCAACCTTCAAGGACTCTAAGCCCCTGCTGGAACAGCTCTCACACGCCTCGGGCCAAGGCCCCGGTTGTGTCTCCTCCAAGATATCCTTCTGCCGGGCGAAGGAATCTGTTAAATGGGCTCAGCCCTTGCAGTCAGCGGAGGGGTAAGGGCAGAGGCAGGGGCAAGGGCAAGGCCACGGGCGCCCACCAGCCTTCTCAGAGGAAGGGGAAGTCAGCCCCGCTTCCCAGCTATAATTCCTCCGGAGCCCTTGTTGGTACCAGACCAAGCAGTCGGAGTACTGCCAAAGTCAGGTATTCAATGTCTCCTGCCACATATCCCTGTGGGTGGTCGACTTTCCCTCTTCCTGTCGGAATGGGAAAAAGTCACGTCCAATCCCTGGGTCCTGTCCACACTCAGGGAAGGCCACTTGCCACAGTGGAAGCGAGACCCACCCCCTTCTCCGGGATCCGCTGCACTCCAGTGCCGGCTGCCCTAGAGAAGGCGGAAGTGCTCGCGGCGTCAGGTCCAGTCGCTGCTGGACAAGGCAGCCATAGAGGTGGTTCCTGTGGGACAAGAAATGCTGGGTTTTACTCAACTTATTTCCTTTGTCACCAAAAGGACGGAGGGTTCAGACCTATTCTAAACCTCAAAGGTCTGAACGACATGTTAGAGGTACCGCCCTTCAAGATGGAAACACTGCGCTCGGGTGATTTCGCCTGTGGAGAAGGGAGATTGGCTCACGCCAATCGACCTCAAAGACGCAGACTTCCATGTCCCTATGCACCCCGAAGTTCAGGAAATACCTAAGGTTTTCCTTCGACGGGAGGTGCTATCAGTTTCGGTACTCCCCTTCGCATTTCCACAGCCAAGGGTGTTCACCAAACTCATGCTAATTCCAGCTCAGGTAGCCAGGTCACAGGGCAGGTGCTGTCACCCCGCACCTAGACGATTGGCTCCTTCAGGCGCTTTGCCACTCACTTGAGTCGAAGGCGACACTTGCTGTGATGAGTATTCTCACCAAGTTGGGCTGGATTATCAACCTCAAGAAATCAGAACTGGTTCCCACCCAGGATCTGGTGTTCTTGGGAGCTGGTAGATTCGAGACAGCGCGAGGGATAGTCTCCTGTCTCCCGGACCGGCCACCAAAGTCCAGAGAGTTGTGTTACACCCTCGAAGTTCCCCAGGGCCTCAGCTCGACTTGGCTCCAGTTGTTAGGCAACATGGCGCAACGGTGGACATCGCTTTGGCGAAGCGCTGGGTTGAGGATGCACCCATTCAGCAGGCTCTAGCTCGAATGTGGGTCCACACCCAGGGTTACGAAGCTGATTCTCCACACTCCAGGGTGGCTAATTCCTCATTTACGGTGGTGGACACTGGCAGGGAATTTATCCAAGGGGCTCCCTTTGGACATCCCATCGCCAGATCTCTCAATTCAGACGGACGCCTTCACAGGGTGGGGGCTGGGCTCTGTCGGTCGGTCTCAGGCCTGTGGTCACAGAGCGAGGGCAACTGCACATCAATGTGCTAGAATTGAGAGCAGTCAGGTTGGTGTTCAAACGACTTCGAGCAGGTTCAAGGCCGCGGTGGTCCGCCTCGAGATGGACAACCAGACGGCAATGACCTACATCCTGAAGCAGGGCTGCACGGTTTCCGCCTCTTCTGCAGGAGGCATGGCAGTTTCTGCTCTGGTGCCACCAGTTCGACATACGGGTAATGCCTGTTTATCTCCCCAGGGCGACAACGCTCGAAAGCAGATGCACTCTCTCGTCCGTGATCCTGGCCCCACACGCAAAGGGATGCTCCATCGGGGATATTCGGGCTATCTCCCAGTTGTTCGGGTCGCTCCAGGTGGATCTGTTTGCATCTGGGGGACGAACCAGATTCGGGTTTTTGCTCTCGGATACCGGATCCGGAGAGCCATCGCCCAAGACGCTTCCAGCTCGATTGGACGGACAGGGTTCTGTGTATGCTCCCCGCCACTACCCCTGATTCCCAAAGTCCTCTTGCAGCTTGCCACCCAACCAGCTCGACTTCTTGTGCTCCTTGCACCCCTTTGGTCGGCTCAAAGCTGGTTTCCGTACTACTCAGGTTTCTGGCTCAGCCTCCTGTACTATTACCCTTTCGACCGACTTACTATCCCAGAACGGAGCCGCGACCGAATCCCAGGATTCAGTGGGTGGCCTGGTTCTCTGTCCGAATCGCTTCCACGCTGAAGGAATTCCTGCACCAGTTGCAGACACAATTCTGGCTTCGGAGGGATTCGGACAAACGCTCAGTATGAGGATAGATGGGCCTGTTATGCGCGCTGGTGTGTCGGCAGAGGGATTCTTGATCCCTTTTCTTCAACTGTAATTGAAGTACTGGAGTTCTTGCAGTCTCGGTTAGAAGCCGGTTTAGCCGCCGCCTACTATCCGGGCTACTCCACGGCAATCTCTGCCTTCCATATCCCTGCCGACGGTGCTCTCTTTGGGGCAGCACCCTCTCAGTACAGCTTTTAGCAGGCGTGGACAGAATCCGTCCGACTGTCCGGGCGGATTAGTCCCCCGCGGGACTTGTCAATCGCTCTTGATTGATGTCCGGTCCTCTCTTTCACGATCTGTCGCCTCTTTCACTCCAGCTGTTAAGTTGGAAGGCTGCCTTTCTTGTGGCGGTAACGCCTGGCAGGCGGTAGGTGATATCCATGCGATGTCAGCGATCCTGCTCTGACTGTCTTTCACAAAGACAGAGTCAGTATTCGGGTTGCCAGACTCCTACCGGCCCTAAGGTCGCAGGCTTCTTTCATATAACGGCGCCTATCGAACTGCCAGCTTTCACTCAGCCTCCATCGTCCGTACCTCTCTTCGGGCGTGCTCACGCCTTAGATGTCCGTGAAGACTCTCAAGGCTTATATCAACTAACGGCTGCTATCAGGAAAGATAAGCAGCTGTTCTGTTGTTATGGCGGTGGCAAGGTTGGTCTTCCGCCAACAAGCAGACCATATCTAGGTGGCTTGTCTCTGCCATTTGTTCGAAAGTTACTCTTTACAAAGGATTAACCATCCCTCAGGGTTTAAAGGCTCATTCTATTAGGGCAGTGGCTACATCAAAGCATACCGCGCACTGCCCATTGAGGAGATCTGCTCAGCGGCTATCTGGAGCCGACCGAAAGCACGCTCATCCGCCACTATCAGCTGGACAAACACTCACGGAGCGTGCTCGGTTTGGCCAGACAGTTCTCACCAGTGGCAGTGTCGGATTCTCTAGCCTAATGAGCCTTAGAAATCACGCTTGCTTTTCTCATGGTGTAGGTGTTAATAAATTCCTCAATTTTATCGGTGGTGGTATCACATTGGTGGTGGTTTTACCGTATGTAGCGATTATCACCGCTACAGTCACTGTGTTCATCCCTGCACCACGCTTCGCTGGTTTGGGTTGCTGAGGGATATATATTGACTCGCCCCATACTTTCCCTCCCATTTTGATGGTTGGGGTGGACTTAAGGGCCCCGCCTTTTATAAATTCCACCAATAGCCTATCGGCTAGGCTCCTTTTTCCCCGCTTTGTCATGCCCCCGCCTGATTGACATCAGCGGTCAGGTGACTAGGTGAGTGTACTTTCTCTCTCTGTCGCGGCTTCGGCTGTGCCTTCGACTGAACTAGGGGGTATGTTAGGCAGACAGAATACCACTCCCGACTCAACATCGTTGGGAGTCTGTCTTATGCTTATATGTACCCCAAGGAGGACTTCTTCTGAAAAAGAATTTTACAAACCTGGAGAGGTTATGAATTCTTTGAAGAAAAGTCCTCCTTGGGGTACGGCCGCCCACCTCCCCTCATTCTGTCTGACACGTTCAGCATGAAAAGTGAGGTACGAGGTACACAGCCAGAGTTACCTGCTAGGGGGCTTGAGCTGTAGGGGCCCCCACGGGCCCTGTAGGGTGGTCTCACCACACATAACGAAGTTTTTGTTTGGTAAAATATTTTATTGAAATATTGTTACAACTGTTGTTGAGGCTTTTAAAATGGACATTTTAATGCTTATATGTACCCCAAGGAGGACTTTTCTTCAAAGAATTCATAACCTCTCCAGGTTTGTAAAAAAATACAATGACCTGACCTGGCTCATCTGAATATGTGCAATTTGAATTTTCTGCTTTGGATGTGATGTCAAACAGTGTAAGTTCAGTTTGTGAAGACAGCAAATGATTATGAATATAGCAATTCAATCAAACTGCTATCGCCACATACCACATCAAGTCTACATTTTTAGTGGTATCAGTTCACAATTACATTCTGTAAGACGAAGGTAGGACCAAATGCATATTCTACCATGACTTCAGTAAACACTGGATTGTGATTGGTTAATTAAAGTCATTCAGAGGTATATAATCACGTTATACAGGTCTCTGTTTTCCGTGCGCAATCATACATGGTTTACGGTAATGCACTATTTTTGTCTGCCCACTAACATGGCGGACACCAAACAACCTACCGATGCATCGATAAATTACGGCGATTTTACTGTCGGAAATTGCACATATGTCTTTAAAGATGGATTTAGCGATGACGGGCTCGACTCACTACTTGCGTAAATCACAGCAATAGGTGTTTATACATACAAAAGTACTTAAAGAAAGCATGGAAACAAATATTCAGTCGAACAAGATCAAAACATCGTCTGCTTTCCTAATAAAAATTCAGCAAAAACAAATTTGTTTACGTTGATTCTATGTTATGTCAGAATAGATCCAGCAATAGACTGCTACAAAATTTCGTGTTAAATTTATTATCAGCTGGTCAACGATATCGCCACTGATCTTGATCCGTAACGGAGGATGCATTAACATCGAACGAAGAAATTTTAATGCCTTCCGTCCACATAAATAAACAGTTGGGTTATCAATCAAACAAAATGATATTTTGAAATTTGTACTGTTTCAAATTTAGCGGTAGTAAAACACAATTAGATCTACAGAATCTGCAAACCGCTCTGTTTAGCCCAACATATTTTTTTTTTCTAAATGTATAATATCGTTGAAAAGTTATTTAGCTTAGTCATGATCCTTCTTATCCATTACACTGCTTGATCTAATGTAGTCTATTAAGTATAATTAATTACCTTACCATGTTTATGCCAGAGGCACACCCTGCGTGTCCTGATCCATCCTTTTCGAAATATCACCACAAATCTGGCTCTTTGTCAACAGACTCTCGTGAACATGCCAGCTTAACCGATTCAATTTGAATTCACTGCACTTTGAAGCCACTAGGTCACAAAACACTTTCCAAAATGTAGAAAATAATATCCCAGAGAATCGAATTTGAGCACAAAGTACACACATGAGTGTGTAAGAGTCACTACAGCTGTCACACGCAGACGTAGAGGTGCTGAAATCGCCAAGTTGACAGGGCTTAAAAATTCAACAGCTCTAAATTCGCACAACACGGACTTCTCGCTACAGCAAAAGCCTCTACTCTTAAATTTTGTACCAGTACCAGTAATTAGATATCAAAGACTATCTCAGTCATACAATCAGGTTAACCTTGCACAAACTGTCAGAGGCTCTCCTGTCGCAACTTTCCAAATTTGCACGTAAATGTAAACAATGACTTCGGAGAAAAGGTCAAGGCCATGAGGTTGCTACCACTTTTCTGGTGGGGAAAGGGTCTACTGGTGGAATTTTCAAATGTGAACCAAGCTTTTAAACTTATTTGATATATGTTTTCCAACTTATCAGTTAATGATTGGTGATTGATGCATTGAAAAACAAAAGCGTGATTTGTTATTACTGAATCTGTAGTTTGTTAGTCATTGACGGGTTTGCCACCAAACACCCCGCTTCGGGCTTGATACCACTTGAGATTGGAATGCGAGGCGCTTCAATGCATTGACTCGTTACCAAAGAAAGAGCTCCACCTGAAATTGTTCATAAAATTGTCATAGAATGGAGATAAACCAGTTGTGTTGGAAAATCAGGAGGTATATAACGAATTATAATAGCTCTAAATTGTTCATTTAAACCTCACGCCACGCTCGGGTTTTAAATTAAATTTAGAGCTATTATAATTCCGTTATATACCTCTGATTTTCCCACACAGTAGGTTTATCTCCTAATTAGGCAAGGGGTCAGTTTCTGCTGATACATTAATTAGCTGATTTATATATCATCTTTTACAGAACACACTGAGGTCTAACATTGTGACAGCTGGGTACACAGCCGAGCCCATGATCCTGGGTAATGTCACTGTGCTGGGTGTAACGTCATCCCCCAAAACTGTCACAGTCAACGGAATACGTACTCAGTTTACATATTCCAGTTTCCAAGAGGTAAGTTATGAACTTTATATTTATGGTGATTGGATGACCCAGCCTACCTGACTGAAAAAATTTCAATGTGTAGAATCTTAATTCTAAATATCATATGAACAACAACTTTTCACCCAAGACATATCTGTAAAACTTGTGTGAATAACCTCATAAAGGTCACCCTCCATATATGACATAATCAACCACATGACAGCTTAGAGTTGTCTCCCTTCAACCACCCAACCTTGTTGTGACAGAAATGTCAATATGCTCAGGAATGCTGACGACCATCCGACCTTCTTGCTGTCTGCTTGACAGTCATTGAGTATATGACATCTGTTACAGTCTGTTACATCTTTATTATAATCTTAACCTTTTCAAAGTCTTAGATGTCATTATACATAGTTGTCCCTGCTACAATGTAGATGAGCACAAGAAACCCAGCCATCGAAGGCACTACTAATATCTACACAGATTCACACACTGAAAGCATGAATGGAACCTAAAATCATGAATGGAAACCATTATTTCTGGAACCTATATTAGGGATTCCAATAATGGTTTGCAACAATAATGTTTCTGGAACCTATATTAGGGATTCCAATAATGGTTTGCCACAATTATGTTGCTAGGTTTATCAGCACCTAACCCATACAGAGTAATACTTTGGCTTTCATCCACATTGAGTTGTCTCCCATGATATGACTGAGTGAGTGAGTTTAGTTTTATGCCACACTCAGCAATATTCCAGCTATTTGGCATTGGTCTGTAAATAATCGAGTCTGAACCAGACAATCCAGTGATCAACAGCATGAACATCGATCTGCGTAATTGGGAACCAATGACATGTGTCAACCAAGTCAGCAAGCCTGACCACCCGATCCCATTAGTCGCCTCTAACGACAAAAATGGGTTACTGAAGATCAGTATTCTAACCCGGACCTTCACGGGTCCAATGATATGACTGAAATACTATTAGAAGTGACATTTATCCAAACCATCTCTGTTAAGACAATTTGTGAATATTATTAACACAATTTATGTTTTATTTCAGGTGATATACGTGACAGAGTTCCGTGCCAAGATGCTACGTCCTTTCACAATGACCTGGACCTTCTAAGGACTAGAATGTTTCTGTGTTAACATAATGGCACATACATAAATGATTATAAATCCATTGGTTAAGGGAAATTTCTTTTACAATGATGTGGAAGGTCTGGCATGAATGAATAAATATAATTAAGTTTACTTGGAAATTCCACAATAAACATGCTAAATGTCAATTTTGGTTGCTACACTGAAAGCTTTTGCACACTTAATGCCATGAACACATGAGATTAATGCTGCTTTACTGGGTTGTAATAGTGTCTTCTATGTTGAACACGTTGAGCATAAAATGTGTGTGGTGATGATGATGATGAACTTTTTCCATGCTCAAAAGCATCATGGTACAGATGTATTTTCCATTCTGTGTCTGTGTGCATTCAGATTATATTCTCTGTTCCTTTGGGAAAATAGGCAACAGTTGAGGGTCAGCAAGCCAGAAGTAAATAAAAATAATTTTTAGATGTATCATTAGAATACAGATATATTTATTGTCATCAATTTCAATGAATTTCTTCATAGCAAGTTAACAATAATGACAAATGTGGTAGAAAAAATCAGATCTGCAAATGATTGGTTTTGCCTAAGGATTTGAATCTTTTTGCTATTATAGATACATTTGGTGTGTTGAACTTTATTGAAATACTGTTTTGTTTTTCACGTTTATAATATCATAAAATAATATATTTCTTGATTAAAACTGACCTTCAACCAATCATATCAAATGAATTAATGTATAAATGTGAAATGTATAAACTTTGTGAATGTTCGTCCTGTGTTACCATGGTGACAGTCTCTTAAAGGGAGGAAATAGTACATGAAAACCAGAATAGACAATTCATTGAGAAGCTTGAGAGTTGAAAACTGTGATTTATTTATTTAACATGGTCAGATGTCACAGATGTAATTATGTTACAAAATTCTTGACATTGATGCCTTGATATATAATAGGACTACATTTTCATGCATCAGTTTCCTCCCAGTCAGAAACTGACATGAAACTAACATTGGCAAGCAGAAACTGTGTTTTGTGTTTCATTCAACAGTGCAATGGGCCAAGTGTGTTTGTGCAGTATGGCTAATTTGTTTTTTGTTTGTTTTCTGATTGGGGTATTTTGTACATGTTTATTGTTTGATATGTAAACGGAGTGTAAAGTTTTACCAAATACGTGGTTTGAGTTACCCTGTGATACCTGTGATGAATGTGTGTGAAAGCCTTCAATCAGCACATTTTAACATTTCAGTGGTAAATTGTCTGGAGGTATAAATACATAAATAATAAACTCTATATTTTACATATATATATGATGTTTGTATTTCTTTACTTGGTGCACCACCAAATCACTGCATCAAAGATTAAATATAATCCTTAACGCTTTCAAGAAAGAACTTCTTTACATTCACAGAAAGTATTTGAGACTGTGGAACTAACACCCATGTGATTTCTCAAAACCTCAAAAAAACACTTTTTTTTACTTTGTAGGATAAACAACAAACTGCACGAAAACGTCATTCCTTGATCGATGAAGTAATAAACATTGTGAGAATAGATCTAAGTGCATCAATTTTCAGAGGTTCAGGACAATTTGTCAGAAAGCTAATGTCATTTGAGTTCACTGAGAAAACAATGTGAAATGCTGGACTTCCTCATTGATAACATCTAAGTGACATTTGGGAGTCCTTCTCTGTTTCTTTATGCATATGAGTCAGAGTGAGTGAGTATAGTTTTACGCCGCTTTTAGCAATATTCCAGCAATATCACGGCGGGGGACACCAGAAATGGACTTTACACATTGGACCCACATGGGAAATCGAACCTGGGTCTTCGGCGTGACGAGCCAACGCTTTAACCACTACGGCACTAGGCTACCCCACCAACCCACATATGAGTCACAATTTTTGCTCAGGTTGACAAAATGAAAAGAAGGTAATTTGGTCTAGAAGTTTTAACGTGAGCTCCATGATCTGTTATCTATCAATAACAATCAAACAGTCAATTCACTGCCACCAATGTACCCACTGAACTTAAAACTAAGGGGACTGGTGAGACATCCTCTTGTATCTCATATTTAGATCTATGCAGAAAGATTCAGAGTGGCATAAAATCTGTATGACAAGTGGGCTGTCAACTTCAACCAAACGTCCTCTTTCCCTTTATCTTGAGCAATATTTCAACAGCTCCCAACCTGTAGTGTTTACATTTCACAACCTTTAAGGAACAATTATAATCTTGATGAAGATCCAGAGATCAATCTGACACCAACAATAGATATCCTATCACAAGGAGGCCACTATTTGTCCAACCACTCACAAAGAGGTCACCAGCTGAGTATCCGCTCTCAAAGAGTTACCAGCTGAGTATCCACTCTCAAAGAGGCCACTAGTTGGGTATCCACTCTCAAAGAGGTCACCAGCTGAGTATCTGCTCTCAAAGAGGTCACCAGCTGAGTATCCGCTCTCAAAGAGGTCACCAGCTGAGTATCCACTCTCAAAAAGGGCACCAGTTAGGTACCCTCTAACAAAGAGGTCACCAGCTGAGTATCCACTCTTAAAGAGGCCGCCAGTTGGGTATTCACTCACAAAGAGTTCACCAGTTCGGTATCCATTCTCAAAGAGGCTACTAGTTCGGTATCCATTCTCAACGAGGCCACCAGCTGAGTATCCACTCTCAAGAGGCCACCAGCTGAGTATCCGCTCTGAAAGAGGCCACTAGTTCGGTATCCACTCTCAACGAGGCCACCAGTTCGGTATCCGCTCACAAAGAGGCCACCAGTTCGGTATATACTCTCAGAGTTGGGTATCCGCTCTCAAAGAGGTCACCAGCTAAGTATCCGCTCTCAAAGAGGTCACCACCCGAGTATCCACTCTCAAAGAAACCACCAGCTGAGTATCCGCTTGCAAAGAGGTCACCAGCTGAGTATCCATTCTCAAAGAGGCCACCAGTTCGGTATCCACTCTCAGAGAGGCCACCAGTTGGGTATCCACTCTCAAATAGGCCACCAGCTGAGCATCCACTAGTTCGGCCTCTAGTATCCACTCTCAGTTGCGATCTACGCAATTGGGATACGATTACATGTGTCAACCAAGTCAGCGAGCCTGACCACCCGATCCCTTTAATCGCCTCTTATGACAAGCATGGGCTGCTGAAGACCAATTCTAACCCGGATCTTCGCGGGTTCTTGATGTACAAGTAGATCAAATAGTAAGATCGTCTTATACTCAAATCATACAAGAATTGCAACTGACAAAATTCCTTGTTTGGTAGTTTAGAAAAAGATCCACTATTAAATCAGATAATCCTCTCTGCTAAAGGACACATTTGCAATCTGAATAAAATGTATCAAAATTGAATGATTTCTTAAAGTTTTTAAAAGATACATTCAAAGTTGAAAAACAATTCCAAAAGAAATAATGAATTTGATAAATTGTCAAATAAATTGTCTCCATTATTCCCTGTTTTTGAACCTGATGACTTCGGTTAACTTCTATTATTTTACCTGTATTTATTGGAGAACCCAGTTGTATCAACAATGTATTACCTGCTTACATATATCTAACTTTGTATGCATTCTACATACTTTGTATGTTAGATTTAGGAACAATATAAGCGTGTGACTAACGACGTGTATAGCTAATGGGAGGGAACCGTTCTAAAAGTAGTTCGTGATTTTATACCATGATTTCCTTCGTAGTCCGTCAATTTCATAATCTACTTCCCTTTGTTATCCGTGATCTCCTAATGTCATTTTTTAGTTCGTGTTCCCCTTAACGCCATTCGCCAGGCGGTCCAGGGCCACGTAAAAGCTACTTTTCTTGGTAGTCCTTGGGTCAATGGTGAAATTACCTTGACAGTCGTGATCTCATACGGTAAATTCGTTTGTAGTTAGTGGTCCCAGCATGTGTTATTCTGAGGTGTAAATATTTATTGCTTAACCACAAACACGTAGCCATGTTAGCGTACTGTACACTGTGTGTGCATTTTAACGATCCGGGCTATCCTTGATACTATCATAAAGAGCAGTGTTACGCGTTGCTCAATACACATGTGTACATATACACCCGGAAAACAATTAAACATCGCCCCTTCTTTCCATGAATCCCGAACTTCCTTGTATCCTTTGGAAGTATCTACACTGGACCTTAATCTTTATTTTGATAAATGATTAAGGTGTCAGTGAGTTAGCTTAGTGGTCAAAGTGTTCGCTCGTCACGCCGAAGACAAGGGATCGATCCCCCACATAAAATGCTGTGAAGCCAAAATACTGGCTCCCCTGCCGTCATATTGCTGAAACATAGCTAAAGACGACATAAGACCGTACTCACTTAATGAGTAGGATACCACCAATACGTGATAGAAAGTTGATATGAGAACACTGTATGTCATTTGTCATGATGCCAGGAACCAATCAGAGTACAGTCAGATAACTACCATGTATTGCCATGTATATCATTTATAAACGATTTATGTTCCTGTATTGAAATCTAAGAGTACGGCACTTTGTAATGACCTGTATCATAAATTGCAACAGTGTAATGTGAATGAGGAATTGCTTGTTTGTGAGTTGGTGCTATGATATTTTCTGTTTGTAAATAATAATGTAATGAATATGCATGTTTTTAGAAACTTGATCTCGTCACTATATGGCTGGAATAATGCCAATGTCACGTAAAGCCCAACTCAACTCAACCTCCTCTGAAAGTGAGGAATTTACATGGAATATGATTTCTACAGGTGTGTGTGTGTGTGTATAGTGCACGAACATTACATGGAACCATTGATCCAAATCATGTACATTTTGTTAAGGCTTGGGGTAACTTTACCGCACCTGTCCATATTTGAGTGGAAGCGAACCCAGACCTTCTAGGCGAACAACGATGATCATGCTTAAAGACGTTAAAAGGTGGTACTTGTTGTTGCTCTGTCTGGCACTAGACTAGACATTAAGGGACATACAGCAACACAGTAGTGAGTTAGTGAGTATGGTTACGCCGCTTTTAGCAATATTCCAGCAATATCACGGCGGGGACACCAGAAAATGGGCTTCACATATTGTACCCATGTGGGGAATCAAACCCAGGTCTTCAGCGTGACGAGCGAACGCTTTAACCGCTACCCCACCGCCAGCAAGACAGTAGACTGCCTGAGTGGGAGATTCATGTTCCACAGCGACATGGTATCTCGGTGGGCTGGCATTGTAAAACCGGTTCTGTTTGATTGTACAAGCGTGTACGCACACATGCACGCCCAAGCACGCCTGCACGTACGCACACAAAAACACGTGTGCGTCGCTATATAAGTACAGTTATCTTGAAGGGGACGTTATACCCCATTTTAAATCACATAACCTTTTATAATTAACGAATGTGTCTGAACTGATGTAAAGGGCCCTTCTCGTCTGCAATTAGGGAGGATCTGTTTGGAGGGGGTCGTCTTACCCAATTTAGCGGGACACTCGGCAAATAGGCAGAACTATGTGAAGTTGTGTAGTTGTGTTCAAGTCATAAACATGCTTCGTTAGTTTGCCGACAGACTGTGATGTAAGTCAACACTGCAGTTAACGATCAACCTAATTACATAGGGCAGAAGGGTCACGGAAGCTATATATCTTTAAGAGAACTGTTGTCCAGCAGGCCTACAAATTAGGGCTTGGATGGGTCCAAATTTTCTACCCGGGTACCCCACCCCCTATTACCCTACGCGGATACCCGTTATGTTAATTCCTGACATCAAATTTGCAAGAAATGGCAATATATTCTTCAGCTCGGAAGCTAAAATTTCGAGTTTTTTAACATCTTAACCATGTATTATATTCGATTGAAGTGACTGTAAATTATGTCTAAATCTTCAAAGACAATACAATTATGAAGGGTAACATTACACTGTATATTCGATTAGTCACGGGTCCGGGTATTGAGACGGGTTCTCGGGTCCAACTCATTACCCCTGTCCCAGCCCTACATGTCACGACGAACGACCCAGTACACAGCATGAAAATCGCGTTCAGACAATTAAGACCATAGTGACCAAGCTGTTATATCATAGGACAATGTGTTGCGACAGTCAAGTTGCAAAGACAGTTGCGTGCAATCAAAACTAAACACGATGTTACAGAGCTAATAGCTTAGGCATCAGGGTGTGTGTGAGTCAGGGAATATTGCTTAACGACATATCAGCAATTTTGCAGCTATTCGCTGCGAGAAATGTCTTAAAAAAAAAAAAAAGAATATTAAAGACAATAGAAGTGATGCTGAAAACCAAATTTAAAAATAAAAAAGAATATTAAAGACAATAGAAGTGATGCTGAAAACCAAATATCACATTTAATCATTGTCATCATGATCACCGTCGTCGTAGTCATCATCATCATCATCATCATCATCATCGTTGTCGTCGTCGTCGTCGTCGTCATCATCTTTCACTGTCATTTAAACTTCAGTATGTTTATTTCAAACATTTTGGGGGGCGGTGGGGTAGCCTAATGGTTAAAGCATTGGCTCGTCACGCCGCAGATCCGGGTTCGAATCCCCACATGGGTACAATGTGTGAAGCCCATTTCTGGTGTCCCCCGCCGTGATGTTGCTGGAATATTGCTAAAAGCGGCGTAAAACCAAACTCAGTTAGTCAGTCAAACATTTTGAGTAACTGCATCAACTCATGGCCAACACGCAGCGTGACAGTTCCCCAGTTACTCTACATACAAACTAACTCAAGTAAGACTACAGTGGTAACCTGTTGAGGCTTTCTACGTTCCAACTAGGTGCTCTTCTGGGAGAACATTTCACAAATAAATAACAAGTCAGAGCATTATCTTTTATAATTAAAAAACAAGTATTGATTCGCGTAGAAGTTACGCATGAACTATATATGTATTCAAAGCTGTGTTCTTTTAAATACTGACACATTCCATTATAATTCCACATAAGTAATGGGTACAACATGGGAAGTCCATTTCTGGTGTATCCTGCCGTGATATTGCTGGAGTATTGCTAAAAGCGGCGTAAAACTAAACACACTCACATCATGACCTTATCTCTGCTCTTGTCGCCAAGTACACACAAACGACACATTACGGGACAACCTTTCATCGTCAAATGAATATTTGTTATCGCAATGTCGACCTTTCAAGTGTACAATGCCATCGAAATCACGTTATGGTGCAGCCCGTTGAGGCCTTTGACCTGTTTGATAATCACTCATCATGCTGTTGATTGTTTAACCAGCCTCAGAAAACGGATATCCGAGTTCTACGTGTGACGTCACATAGTGAGAGCAACAAGTGCCATGTGACTAGTCCGGTCACATGATCGACACACATCAGTTTCAAAGCAGTGGGAAGGTATGTGTGGACTGAATTAACTTCTAAGTTTCTCACCCATATTTACCACCAGTTCGTATCATTATATACATTTTCAGAAAACATATTTGACATATTATCAATGTTTTGTTTATTGTTGGTAAATTTACTGCTGAAAAGAACTAATAATATTTTGCTGAGTCTCAACGGGTCGGTAAATGTCATAAGCGTCAGGATGCATTGAATACTACATTTATGGAGCTGTCAGTGGGTAGATTGTATTGTCACATTCCTCAATACGGTATCAGTTAAAAGTTCAGACTGAATTCATGCAACGAATACTTTATACAGATATCATGTATGGTATATCTTTAACTAATAGTATAAACCTTATATCATCAGCAGATGATAAAAGTCGGAATCCTACTGCTTGCATGTTACTTAAATACTTGCCAATAAGTGTGCAGTTCCGCCATGTATTCCCTCAAGTCAATGTCGTCCATTTTAAGTCTATTTCCAGCTGTGAAATTTTATGGACTTTGAGAAGTTAGTGGTTTTATGGGTAACAACTTCCTTTTAATGTTATGGACGTTTCAGAATAGCTTGTTGACAAAGCAGTAAAATCTAAGCCGAAATGTTTCCATGGAAATATCAGGAGGTTTTATATCTGATGATAGGACTTGATTGTCCCTTTGATATATGAAGGAGATATACTTTATTTCCCAAATTACATAACTTCGGGCACCAAATACAAATACAAGGACCACATTAGATCATGGCCACTAGTCCATTAACGCTGGTTTAAGGAAATGTGGAGTACTTGTTTGCTACTTGCTCAAAATATGTTGTGGTCTAGTGGATATGACCAGTGATGTGCTATCATTATGAGCACATGTATTACTATACATCTAGCTAAGATAAGGGAAGTTTAAGACGCCATATGAAGGTTAGATTAACACCTAGTCTCTGAAATGAACATATTTTACAGAAAATAAAGGTCATAGTAAAAAAAAAAATATGATGAAAAGGAGCCCTGAGACTTTCTTCATTTTCAGCTGTGGAAATCTAGACTTGCCACATTTTCTAGACTTGCGTGGGCTTTCTTGGATATGTTTGCTTCAGGGTCTGTATGACAGACTATATGAAGGTGTATCATCATATCTAAGACATATACCATTGTATACACTTAATAATCTTCATTTGTTTTATCATCATAATTTGTTATGGAAATAATACAAATTATTCATCAGGGTCCCGATCCACAAAACATTCTTAGCGCCTATGATAAGCTATAGAGTTACGACAGGTCGTAACGTTACGAACGCTTTGTGGATCGGGGCCCTGATTGATTGAAACATATCTTATTCATTAAAAAAAAAAGGATTGGGCACAAGTTATCCAACTTAGAAAAGCCGTCTCCCAATGTTTACACAATTCATCTTACAACAATGTACACAAGTGACAGACAGGCTAGGATATGTACAACAGAAGTTAACCGAGAAAGCGTTTTGTCTGAGAGGTATAGATATGTACATATTTGAGAACATTATGATTTTTCTCATATCATGTAAATTACCCGGGAAGTAACCGAAAGAATGTGATCAGTTGATACTCTTTTGAAAAGTGTATATGATACTTCTGTATTAGTTGTCCATCCATAAAGTATCCTACCTTTCTTGTTACACATCAATTCCTATCACACAGATTATGCATACCCTTATTATGGCCACGAACCTCAAAGGAAATCCTCAGCAATTGTTCATAAATCTGACTGAAAGAAGGTACCGATACAAGATGAACACGAACACATTTTCTAAGATTAATAACGTATACCTAGATGTTTTAAAAAAAATAATTTCTTTGAACGTATACCCAGATTCTTTGAAATAAAATGTTTACGCTTACATACTGCAAACAATGAACAAACAGGATACCTGGGACTGTGTTATGCAATGAATGTAATGCTGACCTAACAGTGTAAACAGAGCCGTTTCTGACCTCATGTAACAAAATGACTCTTCTTTGAAAGTACTTTGTGCACCACCACAAAATTTAACATGGGAAAAAAATAGCATAATTTCGATGAATGTTTTGAGTCCCTATAACAGAGAATAGTGTTTATGATCTTGGTTATACTGTTTAGACTTTAGCTTAATTAGATATTTAATTGATGGTGATACAGTTAGTTCAGAAACAAGATTGCTTGGCAGATTAAGCCAGTGTAATTATGAGGTGGTGTGATGTGTTTACTTCTCTCGTTCAACAGTGTTGCACTTATATAATGATGTAATTATAGCATTTATGAGGTCATGAATATTGCTTTTGTTCAGTTTCCAGCATAAGTAATAACAGCACCAAACACTGGGTTGTTTCTTGTGTTGTCCAATATTTTGACATGCACATGTACCCTTGAATAGTAAATGAGTATGTGTACGTTTCAGTAAACTAATTGCAAATGTCACTGACAGGAGGAATGGCTTGTTTTGACAGGGATTCTCTTTACCCATATTGCCTTTTGTTATGTATAAAATCCATATCTAAGTATGTCCAGACTTTTCCTTTATCAACTAGACCAACTGACAGTCTCAGAAAACGTGAATAAAAAATATTCTCTGTCTGTGAATGGTTACTCTTATTACACAGAGACTGTCCATATTTCACACTTAAAATTGTCATGAATTAAGCTATAATATTGCTGATGTGGTTTACAGCAGCAATTATTCATCATTCACTGACATACACAAGATCTTCTAATGTCTACACGCACGACACACACACACACACACACATTAAAATGAACACCAGATCTTGATCTCCAAATCCTTGTGTTTGCTTGTTTTCCGTCATCCATGTTTAATGTTGATGAGGTTAAGTTTTGATAGTTATAAACAAAACATACTAATAATAATGATTGAGTGAGTGAGTTTGGTGTTATTCTGCTTTTAACAATATTCCAGCAGTATCAAGGTGGAGGACACCAGAAATGGGCTTCACACATTGTACCCATGTGAGGAATCGAACCTGGGTCTTCAGCGTGACGAGTGAACGCTTTAACCACTAAGCTGCCCCGCTGAGAATGAATGTTGAGAAACCTGTTCTTAACTAGTAGCAATAACCTATTAGAAGAACACCCACCTATGCTGCAGTTGTGTTTTATGCCACTTACAGCAATATTCCAGCAATATCACATTGGGGGACCCCAGAAATGGGCTTCACACAATGTGCCCATGTTGATCCAGTGAAAGAGTCATCAACATGGCTGCAGGGATACAGGAAGGTGGTGTTCCTGTCCCTTATGTTTTGAATGAGGAAGTATGTCGTATGTACCATTGTAGTCCTCTGATTATTTAACTTCAGGTAACGATATGCATGCTTAACACCATCATAAAATCCTTTATTTCCGTGTTCCTTTTAACTTTGAACATGTTTGGTTACTGGTTGTAGTTATTTCTAAAGAATTTAGTTTTTCAGGGACTGTACAGAAGAATGTTGCTGTTAATAATTGTAAAATGGGATAAAGGCTTCATGAAATTAGTTTTGATGGAGTCAGAAGAGGTGATGAGTCAATGTAGCATATAACTTCACTTGTGCTAATGTGTTTTGGTAAAATAACTTGTTTTCAGGAGAAAATAGTCCCGCTTGGTTACAAGTCTCAGACAAACAGACTAGTGGTATGTATGGGATCGTGTATCCTTGATAAACAGTTGAGCATCTGTACCAAACAATTCCATTTTAATAGAGTAACAAATTTGAAGTCCATAAGTCTACTTTTTCAGTATCTACCAAATACTTATGCATCATGTGGTGGAATAACAAGGGTGGAATATCATGATTATCACCACTGGTTGTTATTGCCGGACCTGTGTACAGGATATATACTTCCCCTGTACAACATGCCTGGGGCTGTATATAAAGTTTATTACACCTCTCTGCAGTGACTGCTTCAAGATTCAATGAAGAGTTTATAGGACAGGCTGGAGTGGGGAGATTGCACAGATTAGTTTAGTATAGGAAGGAAGTCATAAATCTGGTTCACTGTCCCCTGGTGTTGTTGGGGAGTGCTGGCCAGAATTGAGGGTTTTGTTTGTTGTGTTATTAAGTAGTTACAAAACGTTGTTTGTTTTGAGGTTGATTTACTTGCCTAACTGTTCATTTCCCCAGGATCATGTAGAAATTGATAGCGTAGTTTTATGCTACAGTTTCAGCAAAATCATGGAAAACCAAGAGGGCTAGTGATTACATTGTTTGATCATCATGCGGAAACAACATTGCCCATATGGACCCAGGAAAATAAACATGATAAATATATAAATTAATCCAACTCACATGCAGATTAAAGTCTAGATTGCACAAGTCATTGTCAGATTGCTTCAACAAGTAACTATTAAACATTTGTCCAGGCTCCATTTGGATTTCATATTGTATTTTGTAATAATGTTAAGTAGGATTAAATTATCTAGATCAAATGTAACATACTTTTGTATGTACACTTTGTACTTGTAACAAGTACTTTTGTTAGGTATCTCTTTTCGGTGGCTGAGTGGGTTATGTGGTGAAAGGTTGCCTGACTTCAAGAGTGAGTTCAAATCCCAGATGGGACTCGAACTAATAAAAGTACTAGAATCTGTACTTTACTGAGAAAGTGTGATCCCAAGTATAACATGTGTTACAGGATTATGTTAGTCATGGAACTAACTTCTGGCCTGGAACCAGTGTCTGAAACAAAGTGTTTGTGTCTCTGAAATTGCTGTCCTTTTTCTAGAAACAACCTACAGCAATACTCACTAGTTGTTTGTAATATTCCTTTGTTGATAAATAATGAACAATGTATCAACTATCATCAAACTGTAATTCTGAAATCTTGTCACGTGGGCATTTCAACTAACGGTAACCGTAACAATGATTTATTAGAAGAAATTGTGGAAAGACTCAATGTCAGAAGTTCTTGAAGATTCTACAGGTTAAATAAAGACAGGAGGCAGAAATTGTGATGTTTTTTCAGAGAAGTCATTGTCTTCACCTCGGTATTGAAATGAGTATCC